TTCTAAATTAGGGCCTATGATGGGGGAGGGAACCATAGCCCAGAACTCTCCCAGAAGGTCCAGACCCACTGGCCTGAGTCACAGTTCCCTTTGTCCAGCACACAGGACCCGTTGTTCATCTCTGCCCGGTCATCACCACCAACCTGCTCCTCTTTTCTGACTCCATATCAAGAATGGCTTCACCATCCCCCAGACCACAGCACTGGGTCCTGTCCTGGACACCCCCACACTCCATAAGCTCATGAAACCCCATATTCTGTTCTTTCTTCCTCCTGAATCTTTGCCTTATCCCTTCAGCCTCTGGCCGATTCCAGGCTCCATCCATCCTTTCTTTCCTGCTCAAGTTACTTTCTGGGCTACTTACTGGCTTCCAGTCTCATTCCTCCAGTTCTTGGCTCTAGCTCTGACCAGATCTTCCCCTGCTTCTAAACTCTTCCATGGCTCCCTACTACCACCACCCTCCATCCCCAGAACAAAGTCCAAGCTCCTCATCCTGGCCTCTGCCCACCTTTTCATCATCTTCCAGCCTGAATGGCCTGCCTGGGCATCTACAGACAGTAATACTCCTGCACACCTCCCTGTCTTTGCTCATGCTAAAAGGACCTCCTCACAAGCTCTCCTCCACCCTTGCTTGGCACCTCCTGCTCCTCCAAAATCCAGCTCCAATGGCCCCTCCTCTGGAAACCCTTTCCTAACCCGCCAAACCAAAAAAAGACTCTCCTTAGACTCCCCGCCTCTGCACACCCCTGTCCATCAACGTGTGGATCTGTCATCTCATCTGACCCCAGGGTTCCTTGAGGGCAAGGCCCAGGCCTGACTCATCTTGGTCACCACCATCGCCCAGCACGAATCTCGGCACACCGGAAACCTCAGGAAATATTTAAGTAATGGGTGCGTGAAGGTGTGAATGAGCGAGTGTGAGTGAGTGGTTATATGAGGAAATCAGTGAGTGAGGGAATTAACGAGGGCAGGAAGGACCGAACGGACCGGTGGGCAGGGCAGGTAGGTGCAGACGAGAATCAGGTTTAGGGTGGGAGGAATGGAATGGATGGATGAATATCTGAGATTGTGCATCCGGGAATTCAGTTTCTCCAACAAAGCAAAATAGACAGTCGCCCCGGCTAAGCTCCTCCCTCCGCCTCGAGCCCACCAAGTTCACCGTCTCCTGTCCGAGCTATGTCCAAAATCCCAACCTTGGGCATGCTGGAAAGGGCTTACCGGGCCGGACCCGCAGAGCCTGTTCCCTCACCAGCCGGCTCCAGCCTCTGTGGAACCCATTAGGAGTCCCACCGCCGAAGTGCCCCGCCTATTGGCCGACTGGAGTGACAGACGGAGAATGGCGTCTTTGAAAGCCTATTGCTGTCCGACTTAGGACGTGGGCCCCGCCTACTAGGGAACGGCGCCCTGAGTGGCCCAGGATGGTAGGAGGAGGAATGTCTATTGGCTGGATGATAATGACTGACGTCAAGCATAGCTTATCACATCTAGACTCCGCCTCCTGTGTCAGACTTGCTTCTGGAAAGACAGAAATGGGGGGGTAGTTGAGGGCGTGGTTGACTGCAAAAGAACGGGGAATGGAATTTCTGGCTTACACATACACTGGCCTGATCCTGGAGTCCTGAGGACGGATGAGGATTTGAGAATTCTGATTCCTTGGTCCTGAGGGACGAGGCTGGGGGCCTGAGGGAGAAAAGGACTGACGACCTGTGGAAGGAGGGACTGGGGGCCTAGACTTCTGGGTCCGAGGGAGGAGGGAGCTGGGAACCTGAAAGGTCAGGGTCTAGGGACGGGGACTTCTGGGTCCCAAGAGTCACTGGCCTGCCCAGGGATGACATATTTGAGGTTCAGGATTTTTATGTGGCTATTTACGGGATTGGAGCTAGGTCCTTTCCTCAGGCAAGAGTTCTGGGTCCTGAGGTGGGGCTTGAACTAGAGATGAAGAGGAAGAAGCGTAGAAGTTCTGGCCTCAGTATGCCCTTTCCTCATCCCTAAAGGGAAGCCAGGGGAAGGGCGCTGTCTGCAAAAGGAATCCAGAGTGGGAGGAGACTTGAAACTCACGTGGAGACAAAAACATAGATACCAATGGAGAGATTACAATATTGAAAACAACAATAATAATAGACTCTCTTGTATGGAATTTACTGTAGCCCAGGTTCTTTCCTAAGCATTTTACATAATTATCTCATGTCTGCCTCAAAACAGCTCTAAAAGATTGGATTATTATTATTATTATTATAGTCCCCATTTTACAAGTGAGAAAATTGACACCCAGGGAGAGAAAATCAAGATGTAAAGAGACAGGAGAGACACAAAACACAGATGGAGATAAAGAAAAGAGATAAAGTCAGGCCCAAAGAAAACAAATGGCAGACAAGGGAAAAGAGGAGAAGGGCTGAGAGCCGCGACTCCTGAGGGGTGGGGGGTAGGTTAGGGGTCAGGATTCCTGAGTCCTAAGGGAAGGACCAAGAATGGAGACCCGCAGGTATTTCCTACCCTGACTCCCACACACCATGCTGTCCAGCCCTTTTTGCTGTGGGTGTTGGGCCTGGTTGAGGTAAAAAATAATGATTAGGAGGAAGCAGGTATGTCATTATCCTACTACTAGATGATAAGAAAATGATTCATGGGGGTTCCCCAAGCCTGGGAGGGGCCTTTCCCCCACAACCTCTGTTCTTTGACCTGGACAGATCAGACTTAAGGAAGGACCGGGGAGGGGCAGGGCTCTCTCTGTTGCTCTCCATCACTGGGTCTCCATCACTCAGAACTGTCACTGAGCCCCTTGTGGAGACAGGTGGGCCACCCTAGGGCAGCAATAGCTTTGCTGGTGGGTCTTCACTCTCTGGGTCTTTCCACTTTCCCCCAGACCTTGAACCAATGCCCACCAGAGGTCCTGGCTCATTGCAGGGGCTCAGCCAATGCTAATGGAATAGATGAACAAACATGTTTCTCTGTGTAGCCCTTCCACGGGCCCCATCCCACCATCTCTCGTGTCCCCCTCATTTCATTTCTCAGCTTCTCCCTGGCCTCACCCATCTCCTCCCACCTTCCCTTTCACCCTGGCATTTCTCCTGAAGCCACAGGCCCATCATCCCCATTAGGGAGAAACTGAGGCTCATTTTGGAAGGCGTCATCCTCCTAGGGCCACCTGTGGGACATGTAAAGGAGTAGCTGAGAAAGAAGTTCTCAAGGCCCCAGATACAGACACATTCCCAGCATTCCCAGCACCTCAGAGTCAGAAATGCAAGATCACCCCAAACACGTGCCTTTACAACACATCCTTGGAATGATCTTGCATTTACACCCACACAGAGAATCACATACACAGAATCACACACACGCAATCACCTACAAACACAAACATAGGCACACAATCACAGAATCGCTGCACTGACAACACACACAGAAATACCCTATTCTACATGCAAAACAGAGAACCCCGTTATGCAGTTATATGCCCAGCCACTGATAGGCATTCATTCAATTCCCTAATAGCACCATGAGCAAAGACTTGGTTTTGTTTACTATTGTATCCCAAGCAATTAGTACAGATCACCATCATTGTCATCATCACCGTCATCATCACGATAAACACAAAATATTCCCTATGTGCCAGACACAAGTCTAGGCACTTTACATGAATTAACTCATTTAATATTCACAACAACCCATTTTGTAGATGGAAAAATTGAGATCCAGGGAAATTTAGTGATTTGCCCAAGGTTTCACAGCCAGTGAAGAGGCCATCAGGATTGGAACTCAGGCTTTCTGGCTCTCAAGGCCATCACACAAGGCTAACGCTCAATAAATAATTCCTGCCTTAATCCAGTCAGAATTACAGAATCTGGACGACCGAAACCACACCCAAACTCAGACACACAGTGGATAGACTAACGGGGGGGCAATAGAGACAAACAAATAAAAAAGGCTCCTACACATGTTACACCCCATAACAGAGGGACACACAAAGTGACACATATCGTGACAATCTCCACACAGACACACAGCACCCAGAGAAGCACACACGACACAGAGACACAACACACCCAAACCCAGACACAGGGACCCACCCAGAGCTCTCTGTTCTGCTCCCAGCCCCATTGGGCTGGCCCTCGAGGAAGCAGCAGGCTTAGGAAGGGAAGGGGGGGCCACCTCACTTGTCTGCTCAGCTGGACCGGTTCCACCAGGGCCATGGATGGCACCACCTGCCTTGTGAAACCCATGTTGGGCAACTGGACCCAGGCCTGGCCTGGACTTCTGGGTTCTGGGGAGCAAGGAGCTGGGAGCCTGGACTCTTGGGTCTGAGGGTGGAGGGGCTGGGGGCCTAGACTCTCAGGTCCTGAGGGCTGGGGACCCAGAATCCTGGGTTCTGCAAAAAGAGAGCATCAGGTACTTGTATTCCTCTTATTTTGAAGGTAGGGTTCTAGATTTAGCAGATAAAATATAGGATGCCCAATTAAATTTGAATTTCAGATGAACAACAAATACTTATAAAAAAGGTATTTAACTGGGCATCCTGTATTTTATCTGGCAACCCTATTTTAGGGGGAGGAGGCGAGATGCTGGAGACTCTGCCATTGTCACTGCTCAGCCCCCAGGCCTCTCCTCTTCCTGCCCTCCGCCCTCCTCTTCACCCCTAAGCAGGCCACCTCACAGCTTCCCCAGTCCCGATTTCCTCATCTACATGAGTTGCTGTATCTAATTGCAGCCTCAAGACTGTGTCAGAGTGAGGAGAGGAAACTGGAGGACAACTCAGGTTGTCACACAGGGAGCCCCACGGTCCTCGGAGATGACTGACCCTGAGTCACCTGCAGCCCATGGTCTGAACAACTGGGGGACAGGGCCCTGAACAACTGGGTAGGCCCGGAGAAGGGAGAGGTGCTGAGATAGGAGGCAGAGAGCCCAGGAGAAGGGAAAGAGACACAGAGCTTGGCAGGAGGGAGACTCAGAGGTGGGGAGACAGAAATTTGGAAACAGGTTGGCAGAGACTGAGGAAATACAGAGGAGAGATTTAGAGCTGGAGAGACAAAGATGTAGAGATGGAGGGACAGGGATATGAACAGAAGTGGAGAGATGTTCGACCGACATTCAGGATCCCGGGCCAAGTGATGGACATACACAAGCAGGATGCCAAGTGCTGCCCACTGGTCTGGGGACAAGGATAGCACGCCATCTGCGTGGTACCAGGAGACCAAGGCTTGGGACCTGATGTGTTGGACGAGGGGGTGAGGGGAAAGCTGGGATCCCAGGCCAACAGAGTGATCCACCCGCCATCACCCCATACCCATACCCAGTGGGGTGATGACACCACCTTCTCTGCAGTTGACACCCCAATTTTCCGGTGCCTCCTACATTTTTAGGGTGACACCCGTGCTGGGAACCCCACCCGGTTCTAAGGCTGCTTCCCTCACTGAGTCACCTCCAACCCCACCAGGCCTGTGGGGGGAGATGTTGGTGACTCAGGCATCCAGGCCCCCAGCTCGCTCACCTCTCAAGAACCCAGCAGGTCTGGAATCCCAGGACCCGCTACTCAGAGATGCAGCCTGGCCTCATCCAAGAATCTGAACCCCAGCCCTCTCCTCCCTCAGACCCAGGATTCTGAGCCCCCTCTCCCTCCTCTATTAGGGTCCAGAGATCAGGCCCCCAGCCCGCTCTTCCCTCAGGCCCAGAAATCCAGGTCTCTACTCTGTTAGGACTCGGGAGACCAAGGCCACAGCCACCTCCTTCAGGAACCAGGCTTCTCAGTTCCCAGCCTCCACCCTTCCCAATTTAGAAGTGGGGTGCGGTGTGTTTATTTACTTTGGTTCCAGCATGAGTCAACCCCAAAACATACTGCCCCCCCCCATGTGCCTCATGGTCCTGAATGGCAGGACAATGCCCCCTCTTCCAGGGAACTGGGGCCCTCACTAAGGATGATGGGAGAGTTCCTCAAAGGAAGCCCACACTGCACTCTCTCCCACAGGGCAGACCTTTCTCCTCTCCCCCTTTCCCTTCCCTCTGAGGCCATGGCCTCCACCTACCTGCCCCTCTACCTTTCCGTCTTTGCATCTCTCTTCTTCCAGCCTGTCTCCCCTTTCTTGTTATTTCTCCCCAGATCTTTGTGCCTCAGTCTAGGCATTTATGTCTCCATCCCTCTATGTTTTCTCTTCTTCCTCCATCTCTCCGAATCTCCTCATCTCTCTCTCCAGTCTTGACCTCCCCTTCTGTCTCTATGTCCCCCATTCCTTCCCCATATCTCTGTCTCTCCCTCTCTTTCGTCCCTACTTTGACCCAGATCTGCCCCTTGTGCCTCCCCTCCACCTACTCTCCCCAGCTCTGTGCACTCCCCTTTCTATCCCCACTCCCAGCTCCTCATCCCTGGACCCCCAGTTTCCTCCAGCCTCTGAGGCAATGCAGGAGGGAGGAAGTGGGGAGATGGGGAATGGAGAGGAGGGAGGGGAAGCCCCGGTGGTGGGGGGAAGAGGGTCAGCCCAACCGGCTTGGCTCCCTAGCCACCCGTCAGAGCCCCGCCCAGGGCCTCATGGCCCGCCCAAATATAAGCAGCTCCTGGCCTGAGACTGAGAACTCAGTGCCCGTCTCCTGTCTCCATCATCGCCATCACCTTCCTGCAGGTAGGAGCACCCCTCTAAGCGCTCTGCTCTGAGGTCAGCACCTCTGCTCTGTTATGCCCTTACCCCACTCCACTCACATCTCTCTGTCCCCTTGTAGACCTCTGACTGTCTCTCTCTCTCTGGACATCCCTGTCTTTCTCAATGCAATGCCCCCTGTACTTCCTCACCATGAGTGGCGCTGGGTTGAATTTGAAAATCCTGGGGACGAGCACCCCCTCTACTAACCTTCCTGGCCTCGGTTATCAGATGTGGGGCATTTCTCTTCACCTCTCTGAGTCTCAATGTTCCATCTGTGAAATGGGCATGCAGAGAAGTCACAGTGCTGGGCAGGCGTGAGCGTTACTGGTGGCATCTCTAAAGGCACCTGGCTCTGATGTCTTCTCCCCTTGTCTCTCACTCTGCCTGTCTCTGTCTCTTGGTCTCTTCAGCTCTGCCTCTGGAATGAGGAGGGTTCTCTGGGGCCTGTCGGGCAGCTGGACAGACATGGGCGAGTTTCTCGCCCCCACCCCATACATCCCTATTCCGTGCCTCTCCTAGACAGCAGGCTGACTTGGACTCTTTCTCTCCAGCATCCTTCCCCCTGAGAACACAGCCCCCAGTGCCCCTGCCCCTTGCCCTCCCCTCCCCCAGTATCCAGTGTCCCTTGGACAGACTACACCGCTGTCACCGTTGCCACCTCTGCCGTCCCCAACGCCACCTCCTCAGGGCCAGCAAGATGCAGTTTGAGATGCACGACAACGTGAAAGGAAAAGGTGGGACCACTGGATGGACCGGCAACCCTTCTAGTCCCCGGAATCTGGCCGCTTCCCTCCCCTGGGCACCTTGGCTTTGAAGACAGACGGCGCCTGCTTGCACCCCAGAGAGCCCCCGAAATGCGGGAACCCAGCACCCCAGGCCCAGACAAGGCAGCAGCACGTCTTGGCCCCGCCCACATGTGGCGCCCACTCTTCCCCAGACGTGCAGGAGGGGCCCCCCACCCCCAGCTCAACCAGAAGTGCAGGAGGCACCTGCAATGGGACAAACTGGGGTGTCGATGCTCAGATGTGGCAGAAGGGAAGGGAGCGCAGTGATGTCCCCTCAGTGGGCGGCCTGGCGGCCCCGCCCAGCCTGCCCGGCAGATGGAGAGGCGGCAAGGGTGCGGGGACCCAGGAGGCGCTGCAAGGCTGCCCTCTGACATCAGTCTCCCACCTCCACAGCCATGTCTTATCCAGTGACCAGTCAGCCCCAGTGTGCCAGCAGCTGCTACCAGACCCAGCTCAGTGATTGGCACACCGGTCTCACGGACTGCTGCAACGACATGCCCGTCTGTGAGTGCCCGCCCCTCCCCTCCAGGCCGGAGGAGAGCAGAAGGATCACCTCCCACCCCCTCCGAAGCCCTACTAACCCCACTCCCCTCTCCCTTCCTTGGACCCTTAATTCCCACTCTCTAACCCTCACGCACTCCTCGGACCCCCAACACTTCTAGGATCCTCACACACCTTCCAGCTTCCCTTCAGACCCTCAACCTCCCTCTTGCACTCTCAAACCCTGTTTCCCAACCTCTAAGCCCAACCCAACCCCATTCCCTCTGGGACCTTCACTTTGCTTTCCCTCAACACTCAGTTCCCTCTGGGACCCTCAACTTGGTTCCGGGGACCCTCAGCCTTCCCCGGGGCGGAGCCGGCAGGAGGCACCGGGTGGGCTCCCCCTCACCCCNAACACTCAGTTCCCTCTGGGACCCTCAACTTGGTTCCGGGGACCCTCAGCCTTCCCCGGGGCGGAGCCGGCAGGAGGCACCGGGTGGGCTCCCCCCCACCCCACCCCGCCCGGCTTTGACCGCCCCGCGTCCTCCACAGGCCTGTGCGGCACCTTCGCCCCTCTGTGCCTCGCCTGCCGCATCTCCGACGACTTCGGCGAGTGCTGCTGCGCGCCCTACCTGCCTGGAGGCCTGCACTCCCTGCGCACCGGCATGCGTGAGCGCTACCGCATCCAGGTGCGTGCGGGGCCGTGAGCCGCGGAGACAAGAGACTGGGTACTGGCCTCCTGGGACCCGAGGCAGGGCTCCTAACCTCTCTCTCTCTCTCTCTCACCCTCTAGGGTTCTGTCGGGCACGACTGGGCGGCCCTCACCTTTTGTTTGCCCTGCGCCCTCTGTCAGATGGCGCGAGAACTGAAGATCCGAGAGTAAAGAAGTGTCCCCGACCCTCCTCTCCCACCTGTCTTGCCTGCCCTCCTCTGTCCCCCCCTGGGAGGGCCTGCCCCTCCACCCCATCCTGCCACAAGAAATACACCCACAATAAAAACCTGAAAACCAACTCCGCCCATGTCTTTTGTCCCAGAGAAGGCATTTGGGTGGAGAAGGAGGCTTGATGAGGAAGGTGGGGACCCGGGGAAGATGCCTAGGTGTGGAAGGAGTTGCAGCCCAGGCAGAGCTTTGACCCCTACCTTCTATGGATGAAACTGGCAAGTCTCTTCCCTCTCTAAATCAGGATGTCCTCACAAAGTAAAACGAACCCACCTTAGCTGCCTACCTGAAGCTCTGTCCAGATCCTGAAAAGAAGCAAAACCAGAAAGGCCCTCTGGGTAGAGTCCAGGCTCAAGTTCAAAGAAAAAATTTAGGAGAGCTCCCCCTGCTGATTCAATACCTATGGACTCTTATCTTACACACAGTTCTAACAGATTTGGGGAACTTTGTTTCCAAAGCAGAGAATTGCCAGGTTTAAGGCTCTCTGGGAACAGGAAGAAGTCCTTAAGGATCAGCCAGTTCAATCCACTCTCTCTATTGCCAAAGCAACTAGCAGATTATGTTCTGGTCTCAAAATTGGACAGACCTGGGATCCAGTCTTGACTCTTGCCACTTACTATGTTATCTTAATGAGTTAATAATCCTTTCTAAGCCTGTTTCCCCCTCTGAGGATAACCCCTAATATATTTTATGGCTACTGTTGAGAGCGAGAGATAAAATAGATGGAAAGGCCAAAGACTGAACTTAATAAACTTATTATTATTTTATGAATAATACTATTTTATCTATTCTAATATTAACATATTATTTGTATTATTTGCTGTTATTCTTCTCTATCTGTGGAACCAACCATCGAGTGACATCTTCACTTGGAATATACAACAGACAGGTCAAATTTCACATATCCAAAACCTAACTCCTGGGCCAGCCGGGTGGCGCAGTTGGTTAGAGCACGAGCTCTGAGCAACAGGGTCGCCTGTTTGATTCCCACATGGGCCACTGAGCTGTCAACCGGTGACCGGATGGCTCAGCTGGTGAGAGCACATGCTCTTAATAACAAGGTTGCCCAGTGGCGACTGAACTTGGAGCTGAGCTTGCGCCCTCCACAACTAAGATTGAAGGATAACTTGACTTGGAGCTGATGGGTCCTGGAAAAACACAATGTTCCCCTTCCCCAATTCCCCAATAAAATCTAAACAACAACAACAACAAAAAACCCCTAACTCCTGATTTCCTTCCCAAACCTGCTCCTCCCACAGTCTTCCCCATCTCAGAAACTAGCAAGCCCCAACCTTCCAGTTGCTCAGTCACTTTCTCTCTCACCCAGCATCCAATCTGTGAACAAACTGTTGGTTCCACTTTCAGAATATATCCAGAATCTCACTTCCTCCTCCACTGCCCCCACCTTGTTTCAGCCACCCTCCTCTTCACCCTAAACTAATGCAGTGGCTCGTCACTGGACTCCCTGCCCTGCCTCCACTGGTCCTTTAGTTGCTTCCCCAGAGGAGCCCTGTGAACATCTGAGACAGATCACACATCCCTCCTCTGCTCAGAACTCTCTCACAGCTCCTTCTGCACAGAGTAAAAGCCAGAGTCCTCGCCTAGCTCAAGGACCTGCGTGATCTACCTCTGGTTCCCCATATGCCAATCTCTGTATCCCCTCCATTCCAATCATACGTCTTTGTTGTTTCTCTAAAATGCTAGGCATGCTCCCACCTCAGGGTCTTTGCACTGTCTGTTTCCTCAACTTGGAATTCTCTTCCCTCAGATATCTCTATGGCTCCCTCCTCCACTTCTACTCACATGTCATCTTATAAGAGAGGCCTTCCCTTCCCAGCTTACATTAAACAGCAAGTACCAGTCCCCTTTCCCCTTCACTGCTTTATTTTCCTGGTCATCTTCCAACATATCTCATCGTTTATTTATTATCAGGCTTTCAACTGGCTTGTCAGCTCCATGAGGGCAGGAACCTTGTTCACTGCTCTGTCCCCAGCACCTAGGACAGCATGGGACCCATTGTAGGTGGAGATAAGAAGTTATCCCAGTTGGGAGACACTGGCTTAGTAAAGAGAAGTGATTTTGGAGGTTATTGGGGGTGGGGGCGGGCGATGAAAACTCAGTCAGGCTGGTGTCAGAATCTTGGCTCGCCTATTAATTAGCCCTGATTTCTTAGGCAAGGGACTTAGTTTCCACATCTGCAAAATGGGGGGACAAGCCTGAATCTCCCAGATGGGATGCTGGGAAGATTAAGGCTCATGTCAAGCACCCAGCGCAGTGCATGGAGTGTGGTTGGCACTTGGAACCTTCCCACCCCACCCCCCTTTTCCTGAGCATTGCCAATCCCTAGGGTGTTGATGGCCACACATAGGCTAGAATCCAGGCCTCTAGCCTCCCACACCCAGGCTTTCTCTCTCATTCCGTGAGCCTCTTGCATTCAGGTGCATGGATACCAGGGAGCGGTGACAGCTGAGGAGCTGACAATGGATGAAGAACACATACCATGGGGCATTTATACATGGGTATCTGCATGACAATGACAGGAGTTGAAGGAAGGGTGGCTCTGCATCCCAAAGAAAAGGTCCAGCCACAGTAAAAATGCTCTGCTTATGAAGGCAAAGTCACAGGTGACTCTAGGAAGGGACCTTACCAAAGAGGCCCTGCACAGCATGGAGCAGTCGAAGAACCACGTTGGCTCCTTCCTGGTCATGCACAATGATCTCTCCACTGGCCTCAGGACTCCCTGAGGCAGCATGTCCCATGGCTAGTTAGCTTCCCAGTTGGGAAATTTACCTTATCCCCAGCAGAAATTGGCCATTTTGAACATTCTGCTCCTAGTGCCTACTCTGAGCTGGGCCGGCTCTCAGCTAGGTCAACCTGTGCCTTCTTTCCTCAGGAGGCAGAAGAGCCTAGTGGTCGGTCGGTTGGCCACCAGGGCTTATGGATTTGAAAGTCAAAAGGTCTGGGCTCAAATGACAGCTATCACTCAACAGCTAAATAAAACCTATTTGTTTTCTCATTTGCAAAATAGGGATTACACAGTACCTACCTCATACAGTTGTTGGAAAGATCAAATAAAACCACAGCAGTAATAAGCCAAGCAAACTGTCTAGCATTGGTGCTCAGGAAATACAAGTTCACAGTCATATCTTGGAGGTTAGGTACTACCATCAGCTCAGAAAAGCAAAACTCACGTGTGGGCAGGGAATTCCTGAAAATCCATTAAATTAACCAGAAAGTCTGAAAATACTGATATTCACGGACTACACTGGAGATCCACATGCCCCTGAGTCCCACACATCACCGTATCCTTGGCTAAACATCTGATGAAGTGGCCGGCTTGTGCCTAAAGGCTGGTTCACAGAGAAAGTACATACCGTATTTGCCGGCGTATAAGATGACTGGGCGTATAAGACGACCCCCTAACATTTCCACTCAAAATACAGAGTTTCTTATATACTCGCCGTATAAGACTACCCCCTCTTCCGCACACCTTCCACACACCAAATAAAAGGTAAAACAATATCAGATTTGATTTCAACATTTATATTTATATTCAAATGCTTATGACATGCAGGAAAACTGTCACAAGGCTGTATGTAATCAAACATATACATAAATCGCGATTCGCGATTTTGCGCTATCATACTGGGTGTATGGTCGGCTGTATGCGATTTTGCGAGTGTGGTAAAATCGCATAACAGCAAAATCGCATAACAGCCGAGCATACACCCAGCAGCGCTGCTGATGCCTGAACGGTATGTGGAATGAAGTGGGCGGGCATCGGGAGGCCACTATGGCACGGGACAAGCACTATGGGCAGTCTATCTGAAGTGTACCTGGCGTATAAGACGACCCCCCACTTGGAGGCATATTTTTCAGGGCCAAAAAATCGTCTTATACGCCGGCAAATACGGTAGTTTAATACTCCCAACAAGATTTCCACGGTCAGAGAGGCCAGCCAAGGGGACAGAGAGCTCCGGCTCCCACCTCCCCTTGCCTCAGGGCTCTTCTTGTCTGCCAGGCCACTGGCAGCTAAAGGCTCCCAGGATACTTTTGGTTGAGTCTACTGGAATTAGGGAAAGCTCACTGTGCTAGGGCTAGGGCCTCATTTCAGTCTCCGCACTGCCTGAACTTCTATGTCAGGAACCAGAATTAAATCTGGTACTGGGACCAAGGCAGTCTGTTTTCCCTCCTGAAACAATCTGGGGTCTCCCTGCAACAGGCATCGGGGAAGAGCGAAAGGCCTCACGGCCCTCATGACCCCTCAGTTTGTCCCTCTGGGAACAAGAGCTTCTGTAGTGGCAGCACCCCGACTCCTGTCTAGGACGGGAAGCAAGGAGTCAGGCCCAGGCTGCGTGGCTTCGAGGGGGCACCAAGATAAGGACATTTATCCACTTTATCCAGAGCTCGGGTGTTGGCTCAGAGAGCCAAGACTCCCCTCTCCTGCATGCAGACAGCACTGGGACACCAGTCTTCCCTGTGCTCTTGGTCGATTCAATCGCTCCCTAGCCTCTCAGATGGCCTCTGATGGCACACGGGGGCAGGTCTCTTAGACTGAAGCCCCCAAAAGAAGGGAAGATGCAAGGTCCAAAAAAGCAGCTGGGGGATGGGAGTCTTGGGAAAGGAGAGTCTCAAGTTCAAGGTGGCTATGATGGAGGGGGTTGTTCTCAAGGGGCAGAGGAGCTCAGAAGTCCAAGGTGATGGCTGGGGTCGGGGGCAGCCCCTGGAGAGAGCCCAGAAGTCATCAAGGCAACATTGTCTGAGAAGAGGTACATGTTGAGGTCTCCACCATTTTTATCTCCAACCTTGCCTGGGGCAGCATCTCAGGCTTGGGGCAGCATCTCAGGCTTAGTGCTCCCTCTGAGCTGGGTGACCCTGGTCCTGGGTCAGGTAACACCGTCTGAGCTTTGTCTCTCCAGCCTGGGGGTGGCAGCAGCAGCTTCCTGATCTTGCTTGAGCCCCTGGGCTGCCTTACTGTCCTGCCTCTTCTCAGCAGTGTCCCTCACCAGTCCAGCCAGTCCCCTGCACTCACTTCATTCCTCTGCAATGTTCAGAATAGTTTGTTTCCCCGGCTGGACCTGAATTAAGAGATGTCTAAAGGGCATCTTAGATCTAAAACTGGACTCGTCTTCCCCACAGGCCCAGTCTGCCCATCTTAACAAATGTTCCCATCATCCACCCAGTTTGGGCCACAACATTGGGGTCATCCTGGCTTCCTCCCTCCCTCGCCTCAACATCTAGACCATCACTACATCGTTCTGCCTACATCCTGCATCTGTCCTTGACGCCCCTTCCCACGGCCCCCACCCTGAACTGGTTCATCATCTCTGGTCCCCCTGCTGCCTCTCTCACCGCCACCAACCCATTCTCCACACCACGGCTGAGTGACCTCTTAAATAGATACATTGGATCCTGTCATTCCGCCTCATAAAACTGTCCGACGGCTATCACTGCCCTGAGAACCAAAGCCCACAGGCCCTGGGTGATCCAACCCCTGCCTGACCCCGACCCTACCTCCTCTTCACATTCAGTTGGAATCGCACTGGCCAGCTTTCCGAACTTTCCAATAAAACAAGCTGGTTCCCACCTCACCTTGTTCCCTCTGCCTGGAACTCACTTCCCACAGCTCTTCCCATAGCCAGTTCCTGCCATGTCTTTGTCTAGCTTCTTGAATGCCCAGTTGACTTTACCCCGAGGTCTCTATAGCCACATCAGTCCCCCGAGATCAGGGAGACCTCTGTCTTGGTTCCTGTTTGCTTGGTGCCGTCAACAGTGCCTGACACATAGTAGGTATTCAATAAATAATTGTTGAATGAAGAACAAAGAAGGTTCTCCCTGGGGGAAGGAAACCAGAGGTCTCTGAGGATAATGTTCAGGGGCCCCCACACAGAAGGGCCCCAAGTTCAGGGCAGCCCCATCAGGCGAACCAGCATGGGTCAGAGGGACATGCTAGTGAGATTGTCCTGGCTCAACAGTCCCTTCCGGCCTATACCAGACCCATGCCCACTGCCCCCAGGACCCCCGCCACCCCCACAGTACTCATGCAGCCTGTGTCTCAGTGTAACAAGGGCTGACCCCAGGCAGGCGCCATTGGGTGCGTGTGGCCCGCCAGGCAGCTGGAGTAGCAGTGTGGCCACACCAGCCATACCATCTTCGGTGGGCTCGAGGGTGATAGGCCCAGCTCGCAGGCCGGCAGTGGTGGTGGGGATGGCCGGTGGGCAGCAGCCCCCTCCCACAGGTCCCCAGGGCCCACCAGCCCCCGTCAGCAGCAGGGGTGCCAAGAAGGGCTCAGAGCGGCGGAATGTGGGTGGTGGGAGCCCAGCCGGCTTCCAGGCAGGGGCCGGGGCAGCAGGGTCCGGCGGGAAGCAGACGGTGACCTTGGCGAAGGGGCGACTGGCCATCTTGGTCATCTCTTGCAGGTGCCGGCGCTGCTCCTGCCGCTGGTCCAGGGCCTGCTTGGCCTTCCAGAGGAGCACGCAGAGCGAGAGGAAGAGGAAGAAGCAGGAGAAGAAGACGGAGAAGAAGACAAACAGGTCGATGTGGGCCTGGTCCTGCCGGAAGAAAAGCAGGCCCTGCGAGTCCGCTGAGCCGTTGGCACCGGGCCCACTTGGGTCTCCCACGCCCAGTAGCAGCAGGTAGAAGCGGCTGGATTTGAGGGCGTGGTGCTCATGCGGGTAGGTGATGACCAGCCTGTCCCGCACGCTGTGGACCACAAGCACTGCTGATGGCTCCGTCACTGTCACATAGGTGATCAGGCCCCGTGGCCACACCTCCCGCACCCGTGGCTCCACTGGAGTGGCCTGCCCGCTCCCTGCTCCTGGTCCCCCCAGATCCCCGGCACCCCGAGGCCCGCCATCCGCAGGGGGAGGTGGTGGGGGTGGGGGCGGGGGCGGCTGGATATGGACGGTGTGGACGCCTGTGTCTGGGGCCACGCGGACCACAAAGGTGTCGTAGGAGGTGGAGACGTAGAGGTCCACGGCACCGAAGGTCACGTCCAGCGTCAGGCGGATGTCCACATTGGTGAACTTCGGCTGCACACCAAAGAGGACAGTGCGGCCAGGGCCCAGGGCCCTGCGCTTGGGCTCATGGAAGCAGTTGGTCTGGGATGTTGGGTCCAGGCAACACTCCTGCTCCACGGAGATGAGGCGGTAGCACTGCTGGCCACCCAGTGGGCTCCCATGGAAGGACTCCCGGCACTTGGCGCACTGCAGGCAGGGGTGGGGGGTGGAGACAGCCATCAGGGCTGAGCTCAAAGCCCAGCCCTGCTCCAAGCAGGACTGACATTCTATACCTATTGGTAAGTAGCCAAGGCCCGAGTTCCCCCACTGCCCTCAGCAGCTTCCTTGTGACCCCCCTGAGCCTCCTTGCCAGGGCACTATACTCCAGCACTGCTGTCCCTGGTGTCACTCCAGTGACCACAGCACCTTGAAGCCAAGGCCTCTGGAACTCTGAGGCGCAGCGATAAAGACCACTGCTGAACCCTGGTTCTGCTTCCTCACTAGCTGTGTGGCCTTGGAAGAGTGACTGAACCCCGTTGAACTTGAGAGTCTTCCTCTGTACAGGGGTGGTAACACAGCTGGCTTACAGGACTGCTGCAATCACAAGCACAGCACAGGGTGGGCCAGCCTCGTCCACCAGCCGTGCTGTTTCTGGACTGTGTTGGGTACATCCCACTTCAGGGCCTCTGCACTGGCTGAGGCTCTGCCTGGATGACTCTCCACGCGGACCTATCCCACCCCTATGTCCGCTTGTCTGGCATTCTCACTTCCATCAGGTTTTTTACTCGTGAGGCCTTCTCACTGAGGCCTTCCTTGGCCATAGTATCCACCATTTCCACTCCCCACACTTCCTAGCCATCCTTTCTGCTTAATTTTCCTCCTTACTGCTCATCACTACCACGCTGTGTATCTGCCTTATTGATTTGTTTATTGCTGGACTCCTCCGTGAGACTGGGAGTTCCTTGAGGACAGAACATTTGCCTGTTTTGTTCCATACTGTGTCCCAGCGCCTCGCACAGTGCCTGCCATATAGTAGGTGCTCAGTAAATATGTGCTGAATGGATGAGTGGATCACAGCTATTTTGATTCCTGCAGTCCGGTGCAAACTGCTCAGCTCTGAGATCAGACCAGGGTCAATCCAGGCTCCAACCACTGTCCGACCTGGGACAGGACACAGAACATCTCTGGGCCTTGTTTTCCTCTTACGTCCACACCTCACCGAAACCCCAGCACAGCCTTGACCAGACGTCCACATCTGTGCTGTCTCCACAGTACAGCACCAGCTCACTGGCAGGTGCTCCCCATATACTAGCTACCACTGCTAACATTCATTATTAGAACCTAAAGAAACCTCTGCTTTCCGAGATGCTGACAGAGCTGCTAGAGGAGAAGGGCTGAATTAATTTCCGGAGCTGCCATTTTTGGCGAAGGCCAACAGGCCTTTTGATTATGCATCAAGAAAGCAAAAATTCTGGTCCAGAATGGAAATGTCAGGGGTCAGGAAGGCTTGTGAAGCTCTGTCACCGTTTTTGGTGGAACTGCATCTTTGCAGATATGATGTTTCTGTAGATGCGTGGGGAAGAATGAGACAAGTAAGGGACGTTCTCTCCCCTCTAGAACTAGAGAGAGAAGGTGGGTGGGTGGGTGGGGTGGTCGGAGCTGTACTCCAAGGGGGGAGCATGGAATATTTCTTCTGTGGGAGACAAGCCTGCAACATGGCAGTCAACCAGGTGTCTAGTACAGGGGATCCAGGAGCCCCATCCCGGCCAAAGAAAAGGGAAATGGACTCAAGGTGAATTTTAATCTGGTTGTTAGTAACCAGATTATTGAGATTTTTAATGAGATCCTCTATTAGACTCAGGTCATCAAGTGAGGGCTGGCACTTGGAGGAAAATCTGTCTGAGAATGAAGTCAACAATGAAGAAAGCAGAGTCAAGATGCAGGAAAAGAGCCTCCTGATGGCACTGTGAGCACCTGGATCCAGCCATTCCTGAAGGTAGGTAGACTTCAGACCTATTTTGAGAGTCAATACTTTTTTTTTTTTTTTTTGCTTAAGCTACTATGTGATGAGTTTTCTGACATTGGTAACCTTTAAGTTGTAACCATCTGTAATGTAGTCTGCCTCCTCACCAGTCTGATAGCCCCCCAACAGGCTCATTTCTGGGTCCCCAGCACCACTGCCTGGGTCCTGAAACTGACTGGGGTTCAGGAACAGTCTATCAACCTGACTCTGATCCCACGACCACAGAGATCAAAACAACATTGTCGGTCTTGCCCGGCCCAGGCTGCCTGCTCCCAGCTCTGACACCTTGGGAATGTGGGGCCCTTGGCCCCTAACTCGTTTCTCTAGCCGCACCTGGTACTTGTAGCAGTCCCGGCGGTCACTGGGGGAGCTGCCCTGGCAGGTGCCCGTCTCTGTGTTGTTCTGACATGGGCAGCCCGTCCCGTCCTGCTCATTACATGTATCCGCATGGCCATTACACTGGCATCTGAGGAGGGGAGGAAGACAGGGGTTATAGTGCTCCCATGACCTACAGGGGCCCAGGCTGGACGCTGCATATGTGAGCTCCAACCTAGGACAGAAGAGGAAACGGAGGCTCACGAGGTTCAGCCCTTTGCCCAAAGCCACAGAGGTGATAGGTGGCAAGAGTCAGGGCTAGAACCCAGCTTGGGCTGACCATTCAGAAGGAAGAGGGTAGAACGGGGGGAGAGTCTCAAGGCCTCTCCCTCGGTGGACATCTTTGCCCACCGGTATCGCCATTGGGGCTGCTCTGTAGCCTGTGTTTCAGTACTACTCTGAGTCTTTTATCTAAGTCCAGCTCCGTCCCCCAACCCCTGCTCCAGCCTGGGGACTCCCTGGGGATTTCATCTTCTCCTGACGGAGGGCAGAGGACTGTGGAAGGGTGTCTGGCTCCCAGAGTTGTGCCCAGTGAACAGGGCAAGGCAAGAAACCCCTCCTACTTACTTGGTGCACTTCCCATCCAGGAGGAAGTAGCCATGGAGGCAGCTCTCACATTTGTCCCCGTAGCTATTATTCTGGCAGTTTACACACACGGCCTCGTCTTCACTAGGACCCTCTGTCACCCAGTTTTCAACCTAGCCAAGGAAGGACAGGGCGATCACAAAAAGCCATGGACCAGTCCTCGCCTCCCTCAGACCCAGGAGCTCGGGCCTCCAGCCCCTTTCACCTCCTCCGGATCCAGCGAGTACTTCTCTGGCTCCCTCCTGGCCATTTCGAGCTCCTTCCTGGAGACACAGACGTGGCTGTTGCCTCGACAGAAGGCATGGCAGGGCCGGCAGGTCCCGCCTCCCACTGCGGAACCCACAAACAGCGGGAGGCACTGCTCACAGTGGCTGCCCTGGGAGCCAGGAAAAGGCAGTCAGAGGGATTGGAGAATCATGGGGGTGCGTGACAGTGGAGAAGGGACAGCCTCTGAGAGCACCACAGGAGGGCGGCAGGCTTGGCACTTGGCTTAGGCAATCCCAGCCTATCTGTGATTTAGCCCTCTGCCTTCGCCTGCACACCTCCACTGACGGGGGGTTTACTCCCCTCCAGCCCAAAGTGCTGAGCTCAGAAAGCCCTTCCCTAAACTATCTGAAGTCTTCCTCCACATGACCACCCTACCAGGCCCAGTGGCAACTCTGACCACTATTCCAGGGTAGCCGCTCTGTGACACAAACTCGGAGGTTGTTCCCAAAGTCTTCTCACATCTCTTGGAAAGGGTCATGCCACCGCCACCCTGTGCCTGGCTTATCGGGGCTCAGCTGGAGGCAAGGAGGGTGGAGGCCCAGGCAGCCCACCTTGGTATGGTTGCGGCAGAGCAGGCAGTGGTCACGGGCCCCCACGCCGGCACACTCGCTGTGGCGGTTGCAGCGGCACTCTGTGGAGCAGTTGCGGCCAACGAAGCCAAAGTGGCAGCGGCAGTGGTCGGGCTCCACGCACGAGCCGTTCACACAGCCCTGGGCACACACCGGGCGGCACAGACCTGTCACACTGCAAGGGGGCGTGGGGAGGTGTTAGGGCAGGGCAGCGGCGAGCTCACCACCCACCATCCTCATCCCTGCTCTGTTCCATCACTCTCCCCACTCCAGGAGCCAGCCCATGCCACCTCTTCCCGGGGTACCCTATCAAACTCACCAACGTTGCTTCTTTGCTACCTAGCCCCCCAACCCGCATGCCCTCCTGGATCAATCCCACTACCTTCACACCTTGGACTGTTTTCTTTTGTCCTGCTTTAGTCCACACCTCATCCTTTATTGCTCCCCACAGTCTCCCACCCCACAGTCTGCCTGGCCCCACTCCCCTCAGTCCCATCCTGGCCTCCAGTCTGGCTGCAGCCTCACTTGTCCATGGTATAGCCTGTCTTGCAGCTGCACTCATAACCATGGGGCCGGTCGTGGCAGTTCTGTGTCTCATTGCAGTCGTGGTGTCCATTTGCACACTCGTCCTCAGGGGGGCAGGACAGGAAGGCCCAGGAGGCCCCAGTACGCCCACACGTCAGCCCTGGCATGGGGATACAGGGCTTCACCTGGGGGCCTCTGCACCTCCCACCCAGCCACCTAGGCCCTCACTCCTACTTCTACTGAGCCCCACCTCTGAGACAACCCCCAGCGCCCCCTATGTTCTCCACACCAGCCCCTCTCACCGCACCCCTAAACCCTTCTCACCATCACGGGGGCCGCTGAGTCCACCCTCCAGGCAGCGGCCACCCCCATCCTGGCCCCCCCAGGCACACCAGCCACAGTGGGGGCGCCGCAGACACAGAGCGCACTGGGTTGCCTGAGCACAGCCCAGGGAGCAGCTCTCGGGTCCTCGGAGAAGCCGCCCGCAGCCTCCGGCCATACATCGCAGGGGCAGGTAGGAGGGGCTCAGACACTGTCCAGGGGAGGGGAAATGCAGAGAAAGAGGGTCAAACGAACACATCCTGTGCATCTTCCTGGACTCGGATAGCTCACCCTCCCTGGCCATAGCCAGGTGGACCAAAGTGGACAACCAGCTGGAGTCATCACATTCTCCTTCTCAAGCATCTATAACTACCCTGTTTCCCTGAAAATAAGACCTAGCTGGAAAATAAGCTCTCACATGATTTTAAGTGCCGAAATATGGCACCTTGGCATACTGAATATTTTAAGCTGAAGGAGTTTGTGGAAAAGGTACCCTTCTTCCTGAAACAGGTCATAAAACCCTCATGTGAGAGGTGTGTGCCCTCCATATCCTGGAGGAATCATGCCAGGGCTTCTTCTCCGGCTATTTTCAGGGAAACACAATAAGTCAGATTAGGGACATCCTTGAAACTAGGAAATTATGCAAATTAGGGCTGACAGGGCAGTCTGGATGAGCACATGACAACAATGAAGAGGAGGGTGGCAGGAAAACAGCAGAGGCAGATGGAAGCAGAGATGAGAACCACACCCCAAACACAGGTGGAAAGGCGGCTTTCCAGCTCCGTATCCAGTCCCTAGTAACGCCTAGCTGCACTCTCCACCTTGGCTTCCAAGAGGTACAACTGTGTTGGTGTAATGAGCCCCCTTTACCCACCTGGCTCAGGGCACTGCTGCTTCTCACAATCAAAAGCAGGCAATGATCCCAGGTGGAGACAGAAACCAGGATCAGGAGGGGGGGTTGCAAGCCACAGTCGATTAGAAAAATGGGGACCTTGCTGCCGGGGCTATAGGATGCTCCTGCCTTAGTCTGGGAAGCTGAGGAGTCCCGAGTCAGAGGCTGAGCAGCAGCTCACACACCATCACTCATCATGTCCCGGGACCCAGACAGGCAGCACAGTGAGGGTCAGACCCTTGGGAACTTACCTCAGAGTATAAGAGCATTTTATTTACTGCTCAGGCCTTAAATAAAGTATAAGAGGAAAGCGATTAGTCTGGGCTGGCCGGCTGCAAGCACTTAGGAAAAAGCAAAGCCACCATGCAATCCTGAAATAGAAAACCCTGACTGCTGTGGCCAGAGCTCTGAGCCTCTTGAGGGTTACCGCCGGCAATGAGCTGAGCCTTGCTCAACTGCCGAAGTCGCTGCCAGGCTAGGCCTCCAGATCTAAATTTGGTTCACTGACAGACAGCGGGGCAATCTATAAGGGAGTGGAGAGAAGCCCGAGGCCCTAGTCTGCACATGCACAGTGCTTTCTGCTGTGACCGCCCTAATGGCCAAATGGCGTGGCTGCCCAACACTGTAACTGTATTTCCTGTGCTCCTGGCAAAGACAGATGAACATAAGTTCCCAGAGCAGGATCCCAGGTCATCTGCGGACACTTGCCCACAGCCTAGCAAAGTGCAGGGCACAAGGAAGGTGCTCAATACAGTATTTGGTCAAGGAGAAAGGAAAGGAGGAAAGAAGCCAGCCAGCCAGGGAAGAGAACACTCTGTTGCCTGCCCCAGGCTCTGAGGCCAAAGTCATTCAAAAGAACATAGCTGGATGGCTGAAATACAGCTGCCCTTGAGCCAAATCATAACAGGTCTGGCCAGCACACCAGTTAGGTTTGAGCTGTGCTGTGGTGCTTTTTTAAAAATCTAAGCCAGCACTTTAACTAGATTTCATAGAAACCTTTAGAAGATCTGGCAGAAGTCGTCTCACATTCACAGGCAGCATCAATTTTGTGCTCTCCAAGTCAGCAGCCCTACCACTTCCTCCTGCCTCTCGCCTGGCAGACCCCTTACTTCCAGAGCAGCTCTGAGAGCCCGGCAGACAAGGGGCTGGGGGAGCAGCATGTGCTCTCTGGTTTTGCCTTCTGGTCCCTGGAGTCCCCACAAAGACGAGTAATGGCAATCTCAATAATATCTGGAGAGAACACATATCACCAAAGGACCCCAGGCTTGGGAAGGAGAGGCCTCTGCTTGTTAAAGACAGACACTGCAGGGTCACACTGAGGGCCTCCATGGGGACATCCCCTCCTCACTCAGCTGCAGTGATCCTCTAGGTGTGTCCCAGACAGTGGAGACTGGGAATCCTCCCCGTGGGTGGAACCTGGGGCGTTCCCAAGTTTTTACTGCAAGGCAGGCTCTGCTCCACGCTGTCAATACATCCTCCCATCTAATTTGTACAACCTGCCTATGGGGTGGTGTGCTGCAACACAAAAATATATTTGTGTTTTTGTCCCGATTCCTGGCACCAAGGTACTAAAATGCTTGGAATTTCCTCAGTGATGGGAATGTCTTTTGTTATTTACAAGGTGCCCCTTTCACCTGAATTTATGCCAATGAGGTGACTTAGGAAGGGGTCCCCAGAAAAACCAAGTCATTGGAGGGGTGTAACTTTCAGCCTCTCCCACTGACCTGGGGCGGAGCTGGAGGTTAAACTCTATAAAAAACTCTCCACTGAGGTTCAGAGCTGGTGAACACATCCACTGGCAGGGTGGCGTGCCCAGAGAGGGCATGGGAACTCCAAATCCCCACTTTACTTGGTCCCGTTCGTCTCTTCCACTTAGCTCTTCCTGAGTTGTGTCCTTTATAATAAACTGGTATTACTGTAGTAAGTAAATGTGTCTCTGGGTTCTGTGAGCCCTTCTAGAAAATTATCGAACCTGTGGAGGGACTGGTGGAACCCCTGGATTTGTGAGTGGCATCTGAAGTGGAGACAGTCTTGCAGGACTGAGCCTTCTAACTTGTGGGATCTGATACTAATGCCAGGTAGATGGTGTTGGGGTGAATTGGATTGTGGGACACCCAGCTGGTGTCCAGAGAGTGGGTGAATCGGTCGTTGGCGTTGGAAACACCCCAGATGGGGTCTGTTGATATCACTCCCATTTTACCAAAGATTAATGTAGGCTCATGGGTTGAGATGGTGAGTGGTCACACCTCAATGGGGTCTTGCACAATAAAGATATGAATGGGAAGTGAACATCGGTGGGAATCGGAGCCTCAGAACTCTGGCCCAGTGACACTGCTTCTGGATGTGACAGCAGGACATGAATGTTTCTTGTCTTCCACTGGGGTAGGTTTGCGGGGAGCAGTAAATGCCTTCAATGTCTGCCACTGGGACGTCTAAACCATGCTAGGACTTCATGAGGGAGCATGTGGTGAGGAGTCAAGGGGAGGACTGTCACTGACACATACAGCACCTCCCCAGACCTTCCAGAATCATCTCTCCAGCCCACAGCCACAGATGAGGGGTGCGTCTGAACTGCTATGTTAGAGTCATGTGCTCCTACCCGTCCCTGGCTATGTCTCTTAGGACCAAGGCTGGACACCTAACTTGTGAGCTGAGCTGAAGTCTTCCCTTGAGAATGTGAGTAGTGACAAACAGAAGTGACTATAAGTTCTGGAATTAGAAAGCCACCTAGACCGCGGGTCAAGGGCTACCATTTTAGGCTATGTGTGTTGACGATCAAGTTGAGAGAAACTGGAGGATGGAAATGTGCAGAGAACAGCTGAGATGAGAGACCACGTGGCCTGAGACCCTCAGAGCAACAGTACTTCCTGTCCTCAGACTCCATCAATTACCCCCAGTTCCTTATAACAAAACCAGCTCCAGCAGGTTTCTGTTTCTTACAACCTGAAGTTCTTAAAGCAGAGAGAGAAAGAGAGGGAGGAGGGAAGAGGAGGGGTTTTGGAGGGAGAGGGAAGTCATGGAAGGATGGGGCGATGAAAGCGTGAACAAGAGCTGGAGACACGCGGGGCTGGGGAGTTTGGAGGTGGCACAGAAGTGTGGCGAGAAGACACAGCAGGGAGACTCGCAAGGCAAGGAGGAAAGAAAGAGTTACTGGGAGGAGAGAAGAGAAGGTAGGAGCAAAGCAAAAGCGTGATGGTGGCACCAGAGCTCGGGAGATGGAGGAGGAAGTAGGACAGAGGAGGGAGACAGTGGAGAAAGTCAGTGTGGAGCAGAGAGGAAGGACACTGGGACCGCCAGCCATGTGCAGTACCTGTTGGAGGCTGCTGCTCCAGACACAGTGCTGCCAGCCCCCGTCCGCACCCTTGGAGTCCAGGCAGGAGGTGCAGTTGGGCAGGAGGTGACAGGGGGTGGGGCAGGGCAGTGGGGGCGATGATTCCACCGGCATTGGGGACACATTCAGCAGAGAGTGGCTGAAGCATGTCCAGTCATAGGTAGGCTGCACCGAGAGGATGCGGCGGGTCTCGCCTGGGGTTTGGGGCACAGTGATCAGAATTGAGGCTGGGCCCCCAGCCCCTCCTCCCTCAGAGCCAGGAGCCCAGGCCCCCAAGCTGTCCTCTGAGGGCCCAAGCCTCGGCTCTCACCTGTCCTCTTAAACTGCCGCGTCCACATGCACTTGCCCTCCCTGGTGCACTGCTCGCAATCGGCGGCCCCGCACGCAGCCTCCGAGCAGTTCCCCGCCCAGAAGACCTCTCTCTGATTGATCCGACAATCATTCTCTGAGGTGCAGGACCCGTTGCGCCCGATGCAGGCGCCCTCAGGACAGTTGGTACACCACTTGCAACGGGGGGGAGATGCCTGGTGGGGGAAGACAGGCTCTGTGGGGTCCTCAGGGCCCCCAGCACACCTCCTGACACAGTGCCTCCCACCCCATCACAGCTGAAAAGCACAGTGGTTCCTGAGCGCTGCCTCGCACCACTCACCTCTCCATCTCCAGGCTGCAGGGTCCGGGGATGGCGAGCCAGGCACTCACTGCAGGTCCGGAGACGGCGACATTCCTCGGGGGAGCGAGGCATTGGGGAGCAGGGGGGCGCCCCACAGCCCAGCCTGGGGAAGCATGAGGCCTGGCTCGTCTCACCCAGCCAGGCCCCATCCTTCCTCCTCCTCCCGCCCTTGCCTCCTCCTGGTGCCCCCTGGACGTCGTGCTGCAGGCCCCCATATGTGTCCCAAACTGGACTCAGCATAGGACTCACGAACCTGCTCCTCCCCCATCCCACTGGTGACGGTCCCATGTCCACTAGTCACCCAGGCCAGAGACATGGGACAATACTCCACAGCCCCTGCAGCCACTGAGGCCTTCAACCTCCTGAATTTCTGACTATCCCCCCTCCACCTCTGCAGCCGCTTGCCCAACTCTGGCCTCTTCCTCTCGCCATGGCCTCCTCTCTGGTCTCTACCCACAGACTCCCCTTGCAACTCCTCCCTCACAACAGCCCCAAGCACTCTTTCTGCCCATGCCTGCCCCTGCCCTCGCCTGCGCAAACCTTTGTGGCTCCCCGTCACCCACAGTGACGAGCCACCATCCCTTAAGCAAAACCTTTGAAGGCCCACATGCTTCAGAACTTTCCAGGTTTTAGAAAAGCAGTGGCTGTGCCCACTGTTACATAACACCCCTAGTGGAGTCTGGGGGAGCACCCCATTAATCAAACCCTTTAATATTTCTGTACTAAACATGGTGACACATTTAATGGGACAAATAAAGCCATTAGTACCTCACATCAGCTCAGGACGATCATGCAACCAAAAGAGTTTGTGCTAAACCTAGGACAGCACTTTCAGCTTCCTGAGATGTTCAGCTTCCCAAACTATAGATGAGGGGTCTGTGGACGTCAACAGAGCCCAGAACCTCGGCCAAGCACCAGAAGCCCTTTCTGAGCTGACCTCATTCAACTTGCCAGTCTCATTTTCCCCAAGCTCAGATGACCTCTCAAGTACACCAGGCGCAGCCCCACTTCCAAACCTTTGCTGGTGTAAAGTCTCCTGGTCATTTAGGGCCCACTTCAGACGCAGCTCCTCCAGGAAGCACTCGGATGATACTCCAGCCGATAAGCAGGGCTCCCTTCTTGGGTGCCCCCAGCCCACCCCTGCCTGTGATGAACCAGCCATTTTCCCATATGAGCTGATATCCTGACCAGACAGTACCCTCCTGAGGCCTCCCCCAGCCTGGCACAACACAGAACCCCCTTGGAAGGGCACCAGTACGCCCCTCCCCTGCAGCTGTCAGTCAACATGGTTACCTGTGGGCCTGGTCCCCGGACAAGCAGGCCCCATGGCACCAGATGCAGGCCCCAGACTGGTTACAAGCTTCGGGGGAGGGCAGCAGGCGACAGGGGTCAGGGGGCAGGGTCAAGGCCAGCAGGCGGCCCAGGGCCACTCCCCCGAAGCCACCGGAGATGTATAGGCGGCCCCCCACTGCCGCCACAGCGTGGGCCACAGACTCCTCCATCGGGGGCCCCACAGAGGCCTGGCCTGGGGAAAGACAACATTGTTCAGAAAGAGAGCAGGTAGGAGACCCACACAGAGGCCAGTAAGATGCCAGTCAGAGAGGGACCTGAGGGGACAGATGTCTGGAGAGCAGAGACAGACATGGCAGGACAGAGAAGGATAAGGCCAGACATGGCCTGAGACACAGATAGCAAAACAAAAGACAGGGAGAGAGACACCAACAGAGAAAAAAAGGAACGAAGAGTGAAATTAAGAATGGAGACAAATGAGGGGCCAGCCGAGTAGCTCAGTTGGTTAAGAGCTCGCTCAAAAGTTTGAGCTCTGAGCAACAGCGGTTCGAGTCCAGCCAGAGCTGCGCAGCCGCTGAGCTGCCAACAGGTAGCAGGATGGCTCAGCTAGAAACAAAACAAAACAAAACAAACAAAGAATGGAGACAAATGTTGTGGAGTAAACGCTCACAGTTGTTTTTTTCTTTTTGTGTGTGTGTGTGATGTAAGTGCCTGACTTAAGCTTTGATAGTGGAGGCATCCATTTCAAAGAGACATCCGCTTCAAGGATGGCTGTCTCAGAAAAACAAAAAACACAGGGCCAGCCACCTCCCCACATGGAGGCTCTTTTGTTTTAGAGAACTTGGTTGACTTCAATAAGACCATTTGGGCTAAGACCTTTTCAAATCCCTGCTCATACATTTTAAAGTCACCAGTAGAGAGTGAGCCCTTGAAACCTTAGGCCCCTACCCTCAACCCCAAGAAAAGCAGCACTCAGGCCTGTGCAGTCTCCCTCTCTACCCATGACCTCGCCCTGTGGCTCACAGCCAAGAGCGCTCTGCAGTTTCCAGGTCTTGTAAGTAATGAGCCTGTATCTTTTCCAAGTTTCCTGACAGTTATAGCTGAAGGGCATCTAGCAATCATAATAAGAACGAGGAGAGCTGGTCCAGTCACAACACTGATTACTGATGGGCAGAGATTGTAACACAACAAACATTTTGGAACCAGATAGAGGTGGTGGTTGCACAACATTGTGAAGGTACAAAATGCTGCTTTATTGTTAATTTTACGTTATGTGACTTTCACCTCAATTTTTTAAGTCCTAAAAAAAAAAAAAAAAAAGAGAGAGTCACAGAGTGGTGGAAAAACTAGATTATCAGAAAAAGGGAATTAGAGACAGGGGGTTAGAGAGAGAAGCAAAAAGAAAAGGAGACAGGCCCAGAAAACATACACAGTCAGTCGCTTACAAGGTTATGTGAAATAAAAAGGCAAGATACAAACCCCTGTCGAACCTATAAACAGGAGAGACTGGAAACACCCCACATGTAATAGTGGTTGCCTCTAGGGAATAGGATTATGGGGATTTTTTCTTCCTATTTCACAAATTACATATAATGAATATTATTACTTTTATAATCAGGTTTTTAAAATTTTTTTTACAAAAATTTTAATTAAAGAAATAAACTTTTCTAAGAAAAAAAGGAAGGCGGGCATCCCCGCAGGTGTTCAGATAGCTTGAAGGGGACAGGAGCTTTGCCAGTGGGTCTGAAGGGGCCCAAGTGACTTCGAATGAGAGGGGGTCTCAGGTCGGGGGTTCCCAGGGACAGCAATGGACTTACGGGTGAGGTCAGGCAGGAGCCAGGAGTTGCAGTTGACCTGGTAGAGCAGCACATCGCTGCTGAACTCATCAGGGTCCGAGCGCCCCCCAAGGACCACCATGGTGTCGCCTAGCAGAGCTGAGGCATGGAAAAGTCGGGGGCGGGGCTGTTGGGGAGATAGGTGGTGAGATGGCCTGTCAGAGCCACAGTCCACTCCTCACTCTCTCAGCTCACCTGCCACCCCAAATCTCCCCATACCCTAGCCCCCCACCAGCACACCCCACCCTAACTTTCCTCAGATCTCACCTTCTTCCTCCCGGAAACCTCCATCATTCCTCAGAGCAGCCCCCAGAACCATCTCTTTCCCCCTGAACCCCTACATCCCCAGGAACCTAACCCAGACTGCTTAGGAGGGACCCTACATTTTCCTGTGACTTTGCCAGCTGGGCTGGGGGTATCTGGGGTGAGGCTTGGGTCTCTCACTTCCACTTCCCTCAGTCCAGCCCCATGAAGAGCTTGGAAAAATGTTGGTGGACAGCAAATCCAATTGTCTCTAACCATCCGAGGTTTCACGGTCTCCCACACACCCTCTCCTTTGGCCTTGAAGGCAGGAAGCGCAAGGAGCCTCAGTCCTCATCTATAGATTCGGGGGAGGGGGGGGGCAGGAAGAGGAGGGGCCTGCCAGGGCTGCACCAGAACCCAGGCCTCTGACTTCCTGAGCGAGGAGCCTTTCCTCCAAGCCAGGGATACAAGAAGGGAAGACTTGGGATGCCCTTCAGTTTAGTTTAGGGGACTGGAAAGGAGGGGCAGTAGGAATCCAGGGTCCAGCCAGTCCGTGAGTCACGGGGATAGATAGGGAGGCCCCTCCCTCTTCCACCCCCTACATCCATCAGTCTAGACTTCCTTTCCTGACCTTTGCCCCCTGAGAAGGGGCCAGAAGGCTCCAGGTGCGGTCAGGACAGTGCAGGGAGTAGAGCTCAGGGGATGGGGCTGCCAGCTCCACGTGGAAGCGGAAACCCCCAAACACGTAGAGGGAGTCAGTGGCCTCGTGGTACACCGCAGAATGACCATAGAGACCTGGTGGGGGTGGGGAGCAGAGTGAGCACAGACACTGGGGAAGGGCTGGTGATCGAGAACTTCCCCCACCATCCTGGGTTCCCCTTTTTGTGACCACAACACCCTTCCAGGCCCTGAGGACACAGATCTAGGATCCCTTCTCAACCCCTCCCTTCTCCCTTCAGTTCAAAGGACAATCAACAGAAACTCAGGGAAAGAGCAGAGAGGGAGATGCCGTGGCCAGAATGTCCTAGGGACAGTGACCAAAAAAGGTAGAAGGTGAGGTAGAGAAAGAATACCTGAGGGGTGATGACCTAGGCCCTGGGGGAGGGAGATGGTGACCCACGGCTACTGGGCAGAGGTGAGGTGGGCAGCTTATCATGGAATCTGGGAGGGGTAAATAGAGAAACTGAACTTCTCAAGAGATGGTTCCCTGAGAATCTGGGCGGGGGTTGCGGGGAGACATGGAGATAACAAGGTATGGGGGGCAGTGACCATAGAGTACTGGAGTGAATAGAGTCTACATGAAGCCCTGGACAGCGGAACAGTCAAAAGTGCTGTGCCTTCCTGTCCCCAGCCCCACCTGTTGGGGGTGTCCCGCTTTGAGCTCCGGATACCCAGGTGCCAGATGCCAGCTGGTACTCGAGCAGCTGCTGGTTGAAGCCATTTTCAGGGGAGTAGCCACCCACCAGGAGCAGAGACAGGCCTCGGCGGGCGGTCAGAGTATGACCAGCAACGGCTGGAAGTTCCACAGCCTGAGGGGCCTAAAGGACAGAGGGCGGAGGTCACAGGTGGCCAGAGGTCAGGGGTCATCTTGTGGGTAGAAGCAAGGCTCAAAGCTCCCACACTCGCCTCGAACCACTAAGGAGGTAGTGAGCTGCCCAGGTCTAGTCGGACCCTAGACCTTCCAACCAGCCCTCTCCCGGCAGGCTTGCAGTAGACTTCTTGCCATGTCTGTCTCTCAACGTCACTTCTTCAGGCCGGAGCAGCCTGTGTTCCTCTGGGAAGCCCCTGCCCCCCTACTCTCACTCTGGCTGCATAGGGCTGACTGGATCCACTCCACAGGCTGTATCCCAGCCTGGCCAACCAGAGTATCACATCCCTTTGGCCAGAGAATGGCTGGGAAATATAACGTGACCCAGATGGCCAGTGAAATTCAATTCTGGGGCTTGTGTTCACGCCCCAGAGTGAAAGCCATTTCCTCTGGGGGCAAAGCTGGCAAAAGCTGCTCTGGTCATCTTTGCCAGAGCCTGGATGTGGTGGCTGGGAGTGGAAGAGATGCTCACCTTCTCCTGCCGCCACTGCAGGGTGGTGAGGTTGAGGACCCAGAAATCTCGGGTGACACCCCCAGCCGTGAGCCCCCCCAGCAGGTACATGGCACCACGGCCAGCGGGCACATAGGCAGCCGCATGGAAGGAGCGGGGTGAGGGGCCTGGGCCCCCGTCCTCGGCTCCTGCCAGCATCTGTGTCCACCGCCGCTCGCTCACTGAGTACCTAGGGCCAAGACGCAAACAGGCAGCCTCACTGTCCCGTCATCCCAGCATCCCTTGAGGTGACCACCCCCCCACACACACACAGGTCTCCCAACATCTCCTAGGGTGACCTTCCTACAACTATAAGTCACCTTACTATACCCTAGGGTAGCACCACCCAAAGAACATCCCACCCCTGAGGTAAGCCTCCTATGACAACTGTCCCAGCAACCTTTGGGATGTCCTGCACCTGTAAAGGTTTGTCTGCACCCCCTTGAGAGGACTCTAGGGTGACAGACATCTCAGCACCCCAAGGCGACCTTCTCGTATTTAGGTATCCCATCACCCCAGGGCAGTCCTCACCTGTACAGGTTTCCCAGCAGCCCCTGGGGCAGGCCTAGGCCCCCAAACATCCACAAGGTGGCATCAGGTCCCTCCACCATGGTGTGCCCCAGGCGGTGCAGGAAGCGACTCGCAGTGTCCTGGGGGTGGGGGTAGGGCAGTGAGGGGTCAGGCTAAGGTCATGACAGTGTCAGGCTGAGTACAGGGTCTCGGGGGTGGGCCCAGGAGTGGAGAATGACCCAGGCTGTGTGGCACCTCCCCAGGCCCACAACTCACAGCTGAGAGGCGGCTGTCCATGAGGGTTTCCCAGACCAGCTGTCCGCCATCCAGCTTCGTGGCACAGTTGGGGCCCCCAAAGCCCTCAGCACAGATGCACACGCCCAGGCTCTGGGGGACAACAGGAGGCTCAGGGGGAACCCTGGGCACCACTCCTGTCCCACCTGGCTTGCCCTGTCCCACCTGTACCTGGTTACAAGTCCCTGCCCCATTGTGGGCGTTGCAGTTTTCAGGACACAGAGCCATGCGGCAGTGTGGGCCAGCCCAGCCCTGGGGACAGCGGCAGAGTCCAGCACCTGCATCCCCATCGTGGGGCACACACTCCTGGGGGACAGGGCAGCTCCCGGGGCCCCCTGATCCGCAGCGGGCAGAGCCCACCGAGGCATTGAAGCCCCAGGACGAGGAGCCGTTGGCCTCCCAGTGCAGCACAAGCAGCCCTGTGGGGGAGAAGCCAGGAGCATGGAGCAAGGCCGCAGTCTAGGCGCTGCTCCACCCCCAGGTTCTGAGAAGACCCTGTGCCTTGGGGAGGGAAGCAAGACACCTCGATCATCCATGATCACTGCCATGATTAACCGTTCTGCACACTGCACACACTCTCCTTCATCCAGCCCATCAAGCTCCGTTGCTTATAAAGCCTAAATCTCTCTCATATTCACCGATCTGGCCGAGCCACCAACACCAGTGCCCCCCACCCCACCCCCACCACTGGTCTTCCTGGCTCCCCTACACTCCGCAGAGGCAGCCGACGAATCTAATCCAGTCACTCACAAGCTCCAAACCTTCCACAGCTCCCTGCTGCTCTTATGTAAAACCGAGTCTCCTTAGAAAGCAGACTGGGTGGAGCTGACAGGAATTAATGATATGTAAAAAACTGCCTCAGTAAAGTTATATTTAAAATCAAACAAACAAACAAACAGCCCTGCAGGCCCTCTGACATCATCACCTCTCATTCTCTGGCTCTCTGGCTCCAGCACCACCGCCCCGTTCCTGTTTCTCAGGGCCTGGGCACCTGCTATTCATCCTCCTGGAGAAGTCACCCTTGCCCACACCGCCCTCTTCAGGCCTCAAGCGAAACTTCACCTCTGCACAGAAGCCCTCCAGACTCCCGCCGACAGGCCAGGCGCCCACTCTCTCCCACTTCCTTTTGTCCCTCACTACTCTGAGCCTATTTTGCTCGCTGCCCCCACCACACACACACTGTGAATCCATGCGGGCAGCACCTCTGTCCCTTGTTCACTGCTGCATCTCCAGAATCTAGCTCAGGCCTGGCTCACCGCAGGTGCTAAGCGAACACTTGCTGAGTGAAATGAAATGAGGGTCCCTCAATTCTAGCTGCTCACTGCGAGGGGTCCACAGTACACCAGCTACAACTCTGCCTTCTACCTCAGCTTGGAGCCACTCTGATTTGCAGTGTGAAAGGAAGTATTTCCAAACTTGAGCCCTTCAACTGCCATGGGTAACAAATTATTCCTAGTGCATCTCCATCAGACTAAGCTGGGTTTCTCTCAAGCCTGCTGATGTTTGGGGCCTAGAGAGCCTGGCTGTGAGGGCTGTCCTGTGCACTGTAGGAGCAGCACCTCTGGCCCCACCCAGGAGATGCCAGCAGCACCCCCAATCATGACAATCAGACCATCTCCAGACGTTGCTAAATGCCCCGAGGGTATGATCAGCCCTGGTTGAGATCCATGGCTGAGGGGATGCTCAGAGACCCTCACATCAGCCCCATTCTGAGTACCCCAAACATGTCTTGCTTGGCCCTACTCTCCAGAGGCAGCCAGCACAATCCTCTCTACTTGCTTCTCAGCTGAAGAAACTGAGGCCCAGAGGTGGCAAAGGATTGCGTCACCCAGCAAGTCAGTGGCAGAGTTGGGCTGGGTCTTGAGCCCACCTCAGTTGGCAAGGTGCAGGGACAAGGGATACACAGCCCAGGACAGAAGTCCCACCTCCCCCAGTCCCCATACCAGACAGGGCCTGCACAGTGAGGGGCCTGTCTCGCCGCTGGCCGCAGAAGGCAGCAATGAGGCTACGGTCTGACTGCACGACACCAGTGTCCAGGAAGCGTGGGAAGCCATCAAAGGCCAGCACATAGCTCAGCTGGAGGGGTACAAAGCTGAGGATTAGGGGGTGATGAGAACGAGAGAGAAGGATGCTTGGGGTCTGGGAGGAGGAGTTTAAGAGGAGAGGGCAATGTAAGATGGAGGAATGGGCTGTTTGAACATCCTGGGCAGATTGTCAAACTGTGGCACGGAGGCTACCATTCCTCTCCTGTGTTGACAGCAGACATGGCTCATCAATCAGGCACTCTCGCCTGGGGCCTCCTTCTCAATACACAGCTCCTGGTGGCCACTACCAATTGATCAGCATTGGCACACACAGTATAAATGTTTGCCATGCCTGGACTGGGGCAAGGGAGTTTGAGGGCCTGGGGAATGGAGACTTGGAGTCCAAAGAATAGGAGGAGTCTGGGAAATGGGAAGGTCTGTGGGCTTAGGAATGAGGGGCTGGGGGTCTGAGGAATAGAGTTTGGGGTTTTAAGAGTAAATAAATGGGAACATGGGGGTCAGGGTCTGTTTGAGGAGTCAAATAGGGTGGGGGAGACATGGGTCTGCGTCCTAGTGCCCTTGGAGCTCACCGTGCAGGGGGTGCTGCTGTCAGGGGAGAAGGTGAGGGTGAGTGGGGGACAGAGGGTCCCCGGGGCACAGGGCTGTAGAACCTCTGTGGCCGAGACAACCCACACACAATAGGACAGGCCTGGCCCGGCTTTTGCTGCAGCACCACCTGGAGGCAGCAGCCCCCCAACTCGGCGTGAGCCCAGTGCCACTGAGGACACGTTGGTGAGGAGGGCGCGACCCCCACACTCCCGGAAGCAGGAGCCACCGGCCCTGAGGAAATGGGAGAGCCGGTGTCAGATCAGTTCCGCCCCATCCCACCTCACCCCACCCCCCTCACCCCACCTGCCTGGCCCCTGGCTCACCGGGGATCCCCGTAGTAGCCGGGGGAGCAAAGCTGGCAGTGGGCACCCTCAGTGTGGTCCTGGCAGAAGCAGAGCCCGCTGAGGTTGTCGCAGTGGCCACGGCGTGGGTCCCCGTGCCCGTTGCACTGGCAGGGCCGGCAGCCGCCTGAGCCCGTAGCATTGCCGAAGCTGCCAGGCCGGCACCGTTCGCAGTGCTCCCCCCACGTCCAGTCTGTGGAGGCCCCAGCAGGCAGGACACAGAGTCAGGAGCAAGGGCTAGAAGGGGCCTGACCAACTGGCTCAGCTGGCCCCTGATCCAAACTGGCTGCTTCAAAGGAGGGTAACCAGGACCCAGAATGGGGGTGATAGCAAGTCCCAAAATGGGGGCACTGAGGCCCGTCAAAGAGATTGGTGGCACTGAAGCCTGTCTGGGGTCAGGAGCAGGCAATGGGGCAGGAGAACCCAGAGCTGGGTGAGGAGACACTGAAGCCCACATAGAGAAAAAGAAACTGGAGCCCTGAAGAGGCTCCCTTGAGGCCAGTCCTGGGGGTTCGGGAGGAGGGCAGCTCACCTTGGCACTCATCGCAGAAGCCAGGCCCCCGCTTGCGGCAGTGGCTGTGGAAGTTGCAGCCGCAGTCTCGGGAGCAGCGGGGGGCAGGGGGTCCTGGGGCGGGCGTGGGCGGGGGCAGGTCAGATGTCCAGCCCAGGTCACACATGCAGGTGAAGTCAGGGGGGCCACTACACACACCATGGCCGCAGTCCTCCAAGCAACTGAGGGGCCGTGGAAGGGGTGGGGGAAGAGTTGGGCAGGCCCAGAGTCCCCAAGGCAGCCCCCTGTCACCCCCACTCCACCCCATCATCTCCATGGCAACAGCAACACAAGCTATTGCCTGTTCCACTGTCCTGGACTATATTGCTGGCCCTGTCGCCAAGGTAACCCCATCACAGGTGGTAACTCCTGTCTCTATAGTAACAACACATCACCACTGGTGATCTGTTCTCTGTGGAAACCCCTTTTCAGCTTGGTCCTCCTCCATCTCCACTGCAGTGCTGAAGACTACAGCCCACAGTCTGTGGGTGACCCGTCTCCATAGTAACTAGTGTTACATTGGGGATCCTGTCACTTTAATGAGGGCCTAGTCTGCAAGGTGAAAACCCGAGGCTCACTAGGGAGGCTGTTTCCATAGACGGGATCTCAGCACCATGATCACTTACTCCCTCCACCTCCACGTCCTGTGTAGCCCTGGGGCAACATCTCCATGGAAACCCATGCCCCACTCACGTGCGGTTGCAGTATGTGATGCCATCACCTTGGTAGCCCCGTTGGCAGTGACATTCGTAGCTGAGGGGCGTGTTCAGGCAGGTTGCCCGCAGGTGGCACCGTGCCAGGCCCAGGCGACACTCATCCACATCTGGACAACGGGCATATGCCCAGCGGGCAGGGAGGGCCACAGACAGCCCCAGGCCCTCCCCCACCCACAGGGAACAGTTACCCCCACCCAGGGGCCCTGAGAAGTCCCCCTGGAGGCACCTGGTGGGTGGGAGATTGAAAAAGGGGGTGGGGTGGAGAAAGATGATAAAGAAACAAGAGACAAGGGACAAGGAAACAGTGACAGAGAGACAGAAACAATAGAGAGAGAAAAACAGAAATATGAATATGGAGAGCAAAACAGGAGAAATGAAAGAGAGAGAAACCAAGAGAAGTCAGACAAAAAATATTTTACAAGACAAACAGAAGAGAGACAGAGACAGGGATACAGTGAAAGGGAGAGAGGAGAGACAGAAGCAGAACGCCAAGAAGGAAAGATGAGAGAAAACAAGTCACAGGGACAGAGAAAAAGTAGAGAGGGAGAAAACAGAGAGAGAAATGGAGAGAAAGGGGAAAGGAGAGAAAAAGAGATAACGGTAAGGAAAAAGGCAGAGAGGCAGAGAAACAGAGCAGTCGTTAGAATTAAGGCTGTGGAGGGCCACCCACCCCATCCCTCCCGGCCTCACTGTCCAGGCCTCACCGTCCCAGCGTGGGGTTGTCCTCATTGCCACACCAGCCACACTCGTGACTCTGTAGACACTCATGGCAGGTCAGGAAGCCATCACAGCTCCGACACCTCGGCTCTGAGTGCACGCTGCAGGGTGACAGGTGTGTGTGTGTGTGTGGTGGGGTGTCAGAGCCCAGCCCAGCCCCCTCCACTGGTCTCCACCCAGCCCTCCATGAGCCGGGCCACCAAGATCGCACCTGTCATCCCAGCCTCGGCAGCCCCCATGTGGGTACCGGGCAAGGTAGGCAGCAAACAGGAAGCAGGTGTGGGTAGACTGGCACCAGGCACACTGGCTCGAGTTGGCCAGGCAGTCGTCACAGGTCAGGCGCCTGGGGGTGAGGAGTGGGGACAGGGTCACACCATAGCTGGCCAATACACACCGCCCAACAGCCCCTCCCTGAGCCCACTGGGACTCACTGGCTGCAGAGCGGGGGACATTCCTCTGGGCTCTTCAGGGCACCCCGACCTCGGCCCCGCCGGCTGCACGCCGCGTCCCCTTTGCGGTTGGTGCTCTGATGCCACTCACAGAAGGGGTCCTGGGGGGGATGGAAGAGTAAGAGCTCAGCTTAGCCCCATCCCTTAGGCTCGCAGCACCCTGCCTCCCTACCACCCCTGACCCCCCACCCACCCACAGACCATTCCTCCAAACCCCCTCCCTCTCCATTGCCTGAGCTCCAGACTTTCCCTTCAGCCAGTGACATCCGTGGCTTCTGCCTGCCCAATACCTACTCTCTTTTGGGGCTCTGCACCCCTTTGTGTGGTTGAGGTGGGATTGAGTCAATCCTTGGGGTCCAGAGGTAAGCAAGGGGCCACCCCCCCAACACACACACACTGGCCTCATCAACTGGCCCCAGGGTTGGTCAGCACAAGACCCAACCACAGCCAGTGAAATGCACTTCTGGGATGTCTGTTGACCTGAGGGGTGAGAGTAGGGTGGGGACAGAAAGGTGCTGTCCCCTTGGCCGAGTGGGGGATGAAAGTCCAGAGCCCTGTGGCTCCCTTGGTACTCCCAAGGAATGGCCCTCCAGGGAAAATGAGGATGTGGGGTGGTGGGAGGTGGATGCCTGACCATGTGGTCTGAATTGCTGGAGGTCACAGGCCTGAAGACCTACTATTGGACTCTGCAGCCTGAGCCCATAAATGGCCCTCTAGTGAAGAGGCACTGAGTTGGAATTTTGGCCTTTATGACAGGGAACGTCCTGACTGCCAGGAGCCCACTCTTCAGCTCCTCTTCTCTGTTCCCCACCTGGCTCTTGCCTGCAAATCAAAGGCAATGGCCTCAGCTGTCTCCCCCTACAGTCATCAAGGGCCCTTCCCCGCCAGCTACCCACATCAGCTCTGGGAGGCCCTCCCCCTTTCCTAGTCGCCTGCTTGGGCTGCGTCCATCTCGAGACTGGCCCTCTCTGGGGCCCCTGTGGTCTGGTGGGCACCTGGGTGCAGGCGTGGCAGTCGCGATGCTCCTCACAGAGTGGGCAGAGGGCAGGCACCAGTACCAGCAGGGACCCACCGGCCCTGTCGACTCCACAGTGGGCCCCACTCTGGCGCAGGTGGCAGGTGGCACTGGTCAGGCACCAGCCGCAGCCCTGGTCCGCCAGGCAGCCCAGGCAGGACGAGTAGGAGGCGCAGGCCGCTGAGCGGTAGGGCTCCAGGAAGAAGAAGGAGATCTCCTGGGGGAGGGGCACAGGAGGTCAGGGGTCCATGCTCCGAGTCAAGGGGCAGGAGTCGACGTTTGGGGTAGGGGTCAGAGTTTGGAGCTGAAGACTTAAGTGTTTAGAAACAAGGTTGAGAACTCAGGGGTGTAGAAAGTCAGGAAGTAGGACATCAGCAGACAAAAAGGAGATCAGGGTTTGAGACAATCTAGAGGTTAGAGATCCAAGTGCGGAGGGCAGAAGTCAGGGGCAGTGGGGTCAGGCCCGGAGGAAGCAGAGATGTGGCCAGGGGTCAGAATATGAGAACAGGTCAGAGTCTGGGGGTCAGAGAGGGGAGTCTGGAGGCTGCAAAGTGAAGCCGGTGTTCAGAAGCCAAGGTGTGTGGCCTGGGGTTCAGAAAGCCCAGGGATCTGAGGCCCAGGCCAGGGTACTCACGCTGCCTCCTGGCACACCAGTGCGGTCCCACAGCAGGGTGAGCTCGCTGTGCCCAGGACCCGCCGAGCCGTTGAGCTGGCCCCGGATCTCTACCGCGTACTTGTGGCCCCGGCCAGGCAGCGGGAAGAGACGAGCAGACCCTGGGCGCTGCAGCCGCCTTGTCTCCTTCTCCTGCTGAGCCACCCAGCGTCCCACCTCCTCCTGTGGCGGGGGTGAGGACAGCGAGGGACCTCAGCCCTTTCCATACCTCCCCAACCCCTGAAACCCACCTAGCAGCCACCTCCTCCTAGGAAGAGGAAGGGCATCTCGGGGTTCCTTAGACCCCAAGAACCCCCAAGTGTCCACAAACCCACCAGCAATCCTCCTCCTCCTCAGGGGAGTCTGACTTGATAACACAGACCTTCCCTACCTGCTTCAAAATTCCCCCCAAACTGTGGCCACAACTGGAAACCCCAGGGCCCTTCCCCCATGAAGACTACATCTCCTGCTTCTGATTTCTCCCCAGTCCTCCCTGCACCACATGGCCCAGCCCCCGTATCAGCTATAAACAGTCCCGAGTGTCCCAGTCACCCTCACCATGTTCTCTGTGTCGGGCCCACGGGCCATCCTGGCCAGGACGTGTAGGCGCTGGGCCCGGGCCCACACGGCCACATCCTCAGCCCCTGGCCCGCCGGGCCCTCCCGGCAGCAGTGGGTGGATGAAGCCGCGGTAGACCAGGGACACATCGGTCTCTGGACTGGGTGTCAGAGTGATGGTCGTGCTGCGGACAATCAAGACCTGTGCCAGCCAGGGAGGGGGTTATTTGTGAGTGCACCTCTGAATGGCCCACAGTCCCCACACCCCTCAGGCCACATCAGAGCCAGAAAAGACTGGGCAACCCAAGCTCCTTCCCCATTTTGTGGAAAAAGAGACCGAGGCCAGGGGCAGGGGAGGCTGCTTGCCCAGGATCACTCTGGGAGGAGAGCAAGGACGCCAACTCAGACAATGGATAACACGGTCCCAGCCCCTGCTCATCCCCACCTCTCATTAAACTTCAGAGTCCTCTTCCCCAATTCCCCACCTCTCTACCTAAGCCCTCAGGAATCCATATTTAAATTAAAAAAAAATCCCTTAACTACAAGACTTGGAGAACTTCTGGATTGGTGAACACATCCATGTGCCAGGAGGGTGTCACACCCCAACTCCATGGGAACACAAGCTCCTGTGCTCAGGACCCTATATATCACGTCCTCTGTTACATAATTAACTAGTATGTACATTTTTTTTTTCAAAAAGAGCCCAGATTCAAAGTGACAGACATATGACATGATTTATTGCTAGTAGGTGTTTTTGTAACTACAAATAAATGGAACAACTCAATGTTCATCATGGGAGACTGTTTAAATAAACTACAGTACTACAGCATTAGAAAATAAATGGAATATTATGCAGCTGTAAAAAAAAAAGAGGGTGTTTCTTAAGTTCTCTTATGGGAAGGTTGCTGGGATTTAAGTGGTAGTAGTGTGGATAGTATACTACTTTTTATGCAAGAAATAAAAATGATTAAAAGTCACATTTACTTGCATTGCAATAGGTAGATTCTCGAAGGATATAAGAAAGAAATCCAGGGGTGGCCGGTTAGCTCAGTTGGTTAGAGCGCACGCTCTAAACAACAAGGCTGCCGGTTTGATTCCCACATGGGATGGTGGGAAGTGCCTCCCCCACCCCCCAGCAAATAGATTAAAAATGGTGACTGGACTTCGAGCTGAGCTGCACCCTCCACAACTAGAATGAAAACAACTACTCGACTTGACTGAGATGCGCCCTCCACAATTAGATTGGAACAACTACTTGACTTGGAGCTGATGGGTCCTGGAAAAACACACTGTTCCCCTTCTCCAATAAAATCTTTAAAAAAAAAAAAAAAAGAAAAGAAAGAAATCCAAATAGATCTTCTGGGGAAAGTTAGCGTAGTCTTGAGTAAGAAAAATCAGACCCTTGAATGTAAAGACTTACGGGGTAAACACAAGAGAGATAAAGATCCATTTGGAAAATGAAAACCCTAGGACCATCCCTTCAACACTCCACACTGGGTCCCATCCACAGCTCCCCACCTTATCAGGCTGGGAGGCATTGGGTGGCTGCTGGAAGGTGAGCAGGTGCAGGCCAGGAAGGAAACTCTGGGTGACGCAGGCCTCCAGGGATGTAACGAAGACAGGTGCAGGCCCCCACCAGCCCACAGTGCCTGAGATCTGCTCCCCTCGGCAGCGGGCCTGCTCTGTGTGGACAGAAGAGGGGGAACTGGGGGTAAGTGTGGCGTGCAGCGCTGCCCCCTCCCACACTGCCACTGGTCACTCACCAGGCCGAGGGAGGCAGCTCTCATTGTGCACGCACCAGCCCAGGGCGCCAGGCCCCCGGGGAGGAGCTGCGGGGCTGCTGAAGGCCAAGCAGGCCTGGCAGTCGCCTAGGAGGCGGCCCAGGCCTAGGCAGCTAGCAGCCGGACACTGCAGGAAAGGGAGGGGACAGGGGTTATTGTTATTGTCTACCGGAGCTTAAGTGATTCTGGAAGAGCTGTGGATTCAAGAGTTTGGGAGTAGAAGCGGTCAGGAAATTGGAAAAGGGAATTGAAAACCAGGTTAGAATGCAAAAGATCATGAAAACAGGGGCTGGGAATCTGGGGACAGAGAAGTTCAAAAGGATTGTGGTGGGGGTCAAATTTCAGGGGTCAGCAACCAGAAGTCAGGAATGCTCATCTTAGGTGTGAAAACAAGTCTTCTTGGTGGTGGAGGGGGGTAGTCCTTCTCCACTTGCTTTCAGCAGAGAGAGACACTGAGGGCTGCTCTCTGTGCTAGGGGACAGAGTGCCAGGACAGTCACTCACAGCTCCAGAGGGGGTCCCAGGAGGTGGTGCAGCTTGGCAGGCCCCCTGACACCAACTGCATTCGGGGTCTCGGGAGCAGACGCTGTGGTCCGTATACATGGAGCAATAGTCCAAGTGGTACTGTAGAGAGATGGGGATGGAGGAGGGGGCTCCTCAGACAGGGGCCTGCTCCCATGTCCCCACTCACTTTGATCATCCCAGGGAACCCTTGGGTGCTCAGCACCTTGAGGATCCCCATCCAATCCTCTCCCAGTCCCAGGCACCACTGCCCCTCTGCCCTCAGCCTCAGGGACCTCCATTCCTCCTCCCTTGAACCTGGGGACTGACCTCCCTGTTCTCACGGACCTAGGAACCCTCACTCTTTCTCCCAGGGACCCCCAACTTTCTCCCTCATCTGTGGGAACCATGCTATCTCCTCCCCAACCACCCTCTCCTGATAACCCCAGTGCTCACATCCGGGGCAGGTGCCTGGAACACGAAGGGGGGAACCTTGTAGGCCATCAAGTCCCCACGAGGCCGGCCACTGTATCCACCAGCCACCAAAAGGACACTGCCACCAAGCACAGCCGCCACATGTGAGTACCGACCACTGGGAGGTGCTGCTCGGCCTAGAAGAATACAAACCCCAAGGACATAAGACTCCCAAGCCCCCTCGCACCTTCATGGCTCCCCTGCCCAGAGTACTAACCCTGACTCTCCTATGCTCAGTCCAGTCTCCTAGCTCCTGCTTCAATCCACCTGCCGACGGAAACCCTCCCAGCCTGCCTGGCCCTGCACCAGCTCTAGTCCTTTCTCCCCTGGGGCTCCCACACCCTTGCCCATGTAAGAATTCAGACAGAGCATGACCTTTGGGGTCGGAAAAATTTGGGTTCAAATCCTGGGTCTGACACTTACTTGGGTTCAAATAGTGGATCAACTGCTGACTAGCCATGTGGCCTTAGGCAAGAGACGCGACTTCTCTGAGTCTGGGTTTCCTCCTCTACAAATGGAACCATCATCTTGCCTTTGGGGAGCTGTGAAGCAGGCTGCCTGGCTCTAACCTGTTTCTGTTTGCCTGGACACCAGCCTCCCTTTTGGTGATAGCTTCTGATTTTCCTCTGGAAAACCACCCTCTCCCACTCCCAGTCCACAAGGCTCAAGTTGAGCTATCTCTGCTTCTGGCAGAAATGGGGTTTTAGCCCAGACCTATCAGTGTCAGTGACTAGTTCAGGCATGGAACTCAATTCCTACAATTCTTGGGGGAAAAAGGTACTCTCTCCCCTCTGGGCATTTTACAGTGGTAAAACATAACCCCAGAGCTGCTGGTGACCATCTACGAAAGGCAAGTCTGCTAGAGAATGAAGTAAACCCAGTTGAGAACTGGAGAGAGAAATGGCTGATGCTACCATGTGAGCACCTGGATCCAGCCCAACCTGAAGCCAGGCGTTTTCACTTAAGTGAGTCAAATTCTTTCTGCTTAAGCTGGTTGTGCTGGATTTCTGTCACTTACAATCAAGAGTCCTGACTGACAGGTCAGTAACTGGTGACTCCCCCACCCTCTTGATAACCTGTATGCTCTGTAAGCACATGAGACTTAGCCCAAGGAATCACAAACTATGGAGGAGGAAGAGGCCTGCAGAAACCTCACACTCTCACCTGCGCAGTGAAGGGGCCTAAAAGAGGGGCAGGGACAGGCAGAGGAGCCCTGGATCAGAGGTCTTGCAAACCAAGCCCGAGTTTTATCCCTGATGATCACATCAGGTTCCTTGGAGACCCTTCCTCCTGTCCGCCCCTTAAGTGTTAACATCCCTTCCGTATGCTTGTCTTCTGTCCTCACTCTTCTGTTCAGTGGGGTGGGAGAACAGACAGTCCCCTGAAATGATATGCCCACTTTGTGCATATAAATGTCTTTCTGAGGAGAGGGCCTGTGGCTTTTTTCCAGTTCTCAAAGCAGTCTCTGATGTAATGAGTTTAAAAGGTTCTCCACACTCGCTTCCAGGTGAGCCATCTGGCCCTGCCCCAGGACTTCGGCCGCCATTAGAAAGACGATGTGCTGAGCCCTCAACTAGTCTGTCTTCACTCTTCGTGCATCATCTCAATTTATTCTCACAACAGCCCAGTGGCTTTGGTGTTATTATAATCCCCATTTACAGATGGGGAAATTGAGGCACAGAGAGATTAAATGATGGTTTTTGTACAGATAGTTGTTTGGGGCCATTCATCCTGGTTCTGCCACTTGTCCACTGTGTGACCATGAAAGAGTTGCTTCTTCATGGGCAGTTCCCTGGGACAGCTGGAAACTGGCAAAACCTGGTTTGGAACCTAGATCTGATGCTGCTGTTACTGCCTCCCATCTCCATGGCAACAATGCCCTAGTCCTGTCTGCAGTACCGGCTTGCCTCCTGAGCCAACTCTTAACAGGATGTCTCGCTCACCCTGACAAGGACTGCAGTGGCTCCTGACCAAAGCCCAGGTTCGCTGTGGGGGGTAAGTGTGACCCTCAGGAGCCCCTCAGGAAACAGAGGGGCCACTCACCCTCAGGGGTTCCTGGTGGAGCAAGCTCAGCCCCTGACACCCACTGATGGCAGCCGAGGTGGTAGAAGAAGATTCCATCTTCGTAGCACTTTTCCTCCTGGTAATGGGTGTGCACATTGCCCCCTGGGAAAGGAGGAAAGGGGCATAGCTGGCAAGCCTGGGGAAATGGGGGACACTCACGCAAGGAGCCTCAGCTCAGGGCTGGCCAGGGCTCCTGGCAGGCAGGCGGGATCAGGGAAGCCTCCTCACCATAGACCACCATGTAGTTGCCCAGGACACTGGCCGTGTGGAAGGCTCGCTCCCGTGGACCCTGAAGCCCATCCCGGCCCTTCAGGGTTGTCCACACACGCCGATCCACGTGGAAGAGCTCTGTGGAGTTCACCCTCACAGAGAATCTACAGGGGTGGGGCAGAGGAGGGGTTCAGGGCAAGAGGGGCCCCTCTCCCTCCTCTGCACTATTAAGAGTTGAGCGGTCATCCAGGGTTGAGACCTGCTATGACTGGGTTTATATGCGCTCAGAGCTAGAGGCTCCCATGGGCAGGACCCAGGTTGGACACATGTCTGGGTTCCCCACACAATCTAGCCAGGGTTAGACACCAAGCAGAGGCTGATGGGAAGGACAGATGGTAGGAGCGTGTGGAGAAGCAAGTGACCAACTGATTGAATGAAAGATTAGAGAATGAGCGAGCAAGTGAGTGAGTGAAGGAAAGAAGGAAGGAAGGAGAGAAGGAAGGGGTAACTGAATGACTGCAGGAGTCTATCAGTGGGCAAAGAACATAAAAGACTAAAGGCTCAGGTGTTGGGCCAGGCCTGGCACTGCAGGGCAGGGGTGTGGGGCAGGTCACTCACCGGGCAGTGGAGGGCCGATGTCCACCATGAACCAGCAGGGCACGAGATGGGGCATGGAACACCATGGAGTGGCCTGTGGCGGCAGGGGGCCGCCCACCTGCCGGAATCACCTGCTCCCAATAGCCTCCACTGATGCTGTCAAGGTGGAAACGGAAGAGGCCGGACGAGAAGAGGTCGTGCTGGGTGCGGCCGCCAGACACATAGAGCCAGATGTCGTCCACTAGGGCAGCTGCATGACCTGCCAGGCCTGGTGGCCCCGAGGAACTGGAAGCAGGTGGTGCCAGGAGCTCCCAGTGGCCCCCGCCCAGGGGGTTAAAGGCCCACACATCGCTAGTGAGGGAGCCATCAGCCAGCTCACCGCCCATCAACACCAGGGAGCCGGCCCAGGCCACAGCCACGTGGGAGTGACGGGCAGCCTGTGAGGAAGAGACCAGAAAACAGAGATGGAGAGGGAAACAGATGGTAACACAGAGAATGACAGAGAGAGCCAAATATAGATACAGAGATGCAAAGACAGAAAAAGATAGAGACACTGAGAGAAAGACAAAGACAGAAACAGAGATATGCAAAGAGAAAAGAGAGACAGACCCAAAAAGACAGATACACGTGAATAAAAACAGAGGGGAGACAGAGAAACACAGTAAGAGAGGTGGAGTCAGAGAGGCAGAAATGACACAGAAAAGCAGAGAGAAATAGAGGTACAACCCAGAGAGAAGGAGACACAAAAACCAAGAGTCCAAGACAAAAATGGAGAGATGGACCGAGAGAGAGGAGACACACAGAAGGATAAGATGCAGAAAGGGAGATAAAGGAAAACAGGAGAAAATACAACAGAAAGCAGAAATGAATAAATAGATGTTCCCAGATCAAGCTGCGGGCTGAGGGGGGACGGGACTGTGGAGTGAAGGGGTGGCTCTGGGGGGCCCTGGCTGGGACTGACAGAGTGGACAGGTGCCTCCAGACAGGGTGAAAATGGAGTCCATACCGGGGCAGGACTCAGGTCCCAGCGTTCCCATGTATTGGCAGAGAAGTTGTACAGCACGAGGTCACCCAGGGCGCTGTTGAGGTCCTGGCCTATGGAAGGTAGAAGGTTTCAAGCCCCGGCCACAGGCTGTCAGGCCTCCAGTCCCCAGACGCACACCACATCTGCTCACCTCCAAAAACGGCCAACAGCCCTGGCGGGGACAGAAAGGCACCAGCTGCCCCGACACGGGCAGAGAAGGCGGGGTCCCCAGCACTCACGTTGTGCCACCAGCCAGCCCCCTGGTTCTCCCACAGGTGCAGGTCACAGGCACGTCCCAGGAAGCCAGGCTCACAGCGACACGGTCCCAGGGACTGCGGGGGGGGAAAGGGACACAAAAGTAGGGATAGAGGGAGAGAAAGAGACAGAGAGGCAAAGAGAGACAGACAGAGACAGGAAGGAAACAGGGCAACAGATGGGAAGAAAGGGACACAGACACAATCAGAGGAGAGAGGTGAAGAAAAGACCAAGAGAAAAAGAGAGATCCAGAGAGAAAAATGAGGACAGACAGAAGACAGGTTGGCAAAGGAAGATAGTGGTAAGGTCGATGTGAGCCTGAGCTGGAAGAGCTCAGATCTGGGGAGGTCAAGGCAGGGAGGGCATAAGGCATGATCCCGTTCCAAAGATGAAAATGCATGGCTTAGGGCCAAGGTCAGTGGTTGAAAGTCCAAGTCATGGCTGGGGGCCCAAGGCCAGACAGAATGGCTGGGTGGGAAGACAGAGTCAGGCCTGGCAAGAGGAAAGGGGGAAGGTTCCCAGGTGAGAGGTGGGTTGTAGATGAGGACAGGAGTGGGCTCACGCAGAGGAGGGGCCCCAGGTGAAGGTGGGGTTGGGTTGGAATAACAGGTGAGGTGGGATCTGGAAAGAGAAGGCAGTGCTGTGGGTGAGATCAGGATCCCTGGTGGGGTCAGTGTCATGGCAGAGGGTGGGATGGTGGGGGGAGCTTCAGGCAGGGACAGAGTCAGATCCAGGAGATGGGAGCAGCAGATGTGGTCACAGATCAGAGCCCCAGGAGGACACAGTTGGGGACAGGCTCACCGAGGCGCAGGTGCCATGGCTACCACAGTAGGCTGAGCACTCTTGTAGGCTGCAGTCAGGACCCCCCCAGCCTGGCTCACAGGCACACACCCCTGGGGGATGACACTGCCCATGGCTACGGCAGCCCCCCGGGCACAGGGAGAAGTGGAAGGAGGCGTTGAAGCCCAGCAGGTTGTAGTTGGCATCGCTGAAGAGGTGCAGCAGCATCTGTAGGCACAGGTGGGTAAGGCTCTGGGACCGGACTGGGAGGTGGTCTACTCTTGCCCCATCCCCACCCCACTCTCCCAAAGGCGGGGGTCCCCACCTCCTTTGTCTCTCTCCACCTTTCTCAGTGCCTGTGTCCTTCTATCTGATGTCAAGTCCTTCCTGCTGTTTCTCTGTCCCTCCCTGTGTATATCCGCCCCCTCACCCATCCGCCCCCTCACCCCCACACTGCATGGAGATTGTCCAACCACTGCCCACGGCCCGGCCCCACCAACCTTGCCTGAGGAAGCCTCGATGGGCGGGGGCCGGGTGCTCCCACTCAGACTGGCAAGCAGGGGTGCACGGGGGGAGTCGCCATCATACACGAACAGGTAGTCATATGTGCACTCCGTGTCCAAGAAAAGGAAGTCCAGCAGGATTCGGTGCTGGGGGCTTGGCGCTGGGCAGTGAGAACAGAGGGGTCGGGCTCAGACGTGGACCCTCTCCACACGCCTCCATGCAGCCCACCCAAGAACACAAGCCCTGCTCCGCGTGATTTGGGGGCCCAAAGATGAGTTAGACCTGGGCCCTGTCTTGGAGGGGCACCTGGTCTCATAGCCCAGGGAGGTCAGAGCTGTGACAGCAGGAGGGACAGGAGCTCAAAGAAGGCATTGCAGTATCAGCCCTGGAAAGGGCTCCTGAGATCAGGCGGAACACCCCCCACTGTTCCCATGGGAAAACTGACTTGCCGAGAGAGGGAGCCCATCCCAGTGGTCACACAGAGCTGTCCCCATTTACTCTTGAACCTCAGACACACCCAAGCCTGGGGGTTAGGGGTGAGGCCCAAGCAGAGAGGCCTTCTCCCAGATGGAAAAGGGCCTCTTTGAGGGTCCACTATTCCAGGGCAAACAGAGCTCGGAGGGAAAAGGCCCATTTCTTTCCCCTGGACAAAGGCCAAAATTTGAAGCACCCCCGCCCCCAGCTCCTCTCTGCCCCACCCAGGTCCTCGTCTCTGTTTATTATGGTAGCTAAGGGCACAGGCTGCCTAGGCTCAAATCTTGGCTCTGCCACTTACTAGCTACTAGCGGTGTGACCTTGGACAAGTCACCTAACCTCTCTGGATTGGTTTCTTCATCTATAAAGTGGGGACATAATGGTACTGTGATGGATTCACACTTCTTGGCCACTCCT